AAAAACTAAATTTCTATCCCTGTGCAAGCTCCTTAAAATCAGATCTTAGTTCTCGCTACCGTTTAACAAAGATCTGAGGGCATCTCATTAAGGGTCACGTCAGAATGACCTTTCTGACTAATTGTATCATGCAACCTCGAAATTTTTTACACGGGGCATTCCAAACGACAGTAACAGGATTTACAGCTGGATCCATACAATCTTGGCCATCCCTTTGTTCAATTTCAAATTTTTAATTAAGAATTTGTCAAAATATGTTTCCAAGCGTAGTCGCCAGTTTGAAAATAGTGCTGTAAAGCACGAGAAAGCCGCCTCCTGACTGGCTAATTTAAACTACTTGTCAGTCATTCCATTGGTCAGTCGAAGTTTGTGAAAGGACGGTCTGACGTCATCCGTAATAGAATGTCCTCAGATCTTTGTTTATTGATAGCGAGGACTTAGATCTGACTCTAAGGAAATCAATCCCTGTGTTACATAAACCACTTGCCAAAAATTGGGAGTGGCTTAGACTTTGGCCCATAGGGTCACAACATTTCTGGATGACACTGAACACTATACATATCATCCTCTTATGATCTCAGTTACACGTGTCAATTACCGAATTTGACGTAATATGCGCCCTGCTCTCATAAGCGCCCACGGTGATATTGCCCAATCTCATTAAAATCAGACCTTAGTTCTCGCTACCACCGAACAAAGATCTGAAGACATCCCATAAGGGGTCACGTCAGAACGACCTTTCATCCGACCAATCAGTGGGTCGCTTACCAGATTATGAAAGTGACAGTCGGAATGTGATTTCTAATCATGCAATCTCGAAAACTTAAACATGGGGTATTCCGAACGATAGTAACAGGTTTAACGACTGAAACCTTACAATCTAGGCCATCTATTAGCCATTCCAGAATGTTTTTTGTTCAGGTTTCAAATTTGTAGTTGAGAATTTGTCAAAATATGTTTTGAAGCGTAGTCGCCAATTTGAAATTTGTGCCGTAAAGCACGAGAAAGTTGCCTTCTGATTAGTCATTCCATTGGTCGGTCAAAGTTCGCGCAAGGTCGGCCTGACATGACCCTTAATGGGATGTCCTCATATCTTTGTTTAGCGGTTGCGAGAACTAAGATCTGATTTGAATGAGATTGGATATTGCCTAATATATTGGCTAGTGAACAATCCCAATTAGCACTCCTTCCGATTGATCAATGTACACAAGACTTATTTATTTGTGTATAATACGTGTGTTACATGCATCCTTAATTGTGGGCAATTAAATTCTGGAAAAATATATGTTGCATAATCATAACAGCCTGTCAGCAGAAACTATGAAATTTACAATTTTTCAACTCTGTTGTTTTACACCAAAATAATATTCTATTAAGAGCCCCCTATTTTCTAATTTTGAGAGCACCCTGGGTGCTTATTGTGTCAAATACAGTAGGTCATTTTTAATATTTCTAAATCAGAAAGATCAAGTCGATTGATGAGGTCATTTGACAAGACGGCTCGAAGAGTTATTCCCCTTATTTCTGCTGGAAACCAAGCTCCTAGGCATGGCTGCAGGCTAATCATCACAGTAGGGAGCTGTGGAATTGACAGTGCCATTGCCCTTCGCAGCAACCTGGACTCAATTTCCCCAATCCTTTGGTTCAACCCCTGAGTTCAGCAGTACTCCAAATACTTCTATGAATTCTATCTTTATTTTGTGAGAACATGGAATGTTATCTGTTAATCAGATAAACACGATTAAGCAGGAACAGGTACGAGAGAGTTATCAATACAGACTAGGTGCAATTCCCAAAACAACCAACTTCAAAAAAGGAATATGGTTTTCTTGCCTTTTTGCAAATGTATGCCTAATGACCAATGTTTTTTGGTGCTATTGTGGATATATTTTTACTAATGTTGTGTGCTCAAGGGACATGTTTATTCAGTGGTAAAGAAACTAGACTCTCAGGGCAGGAACTGCCTTGAAACATTCAGATATTACACGTTCAATTTGAAATTGGAAACAGAATGGAATGATTGAGAAGACAAGGTGCATCCAGTAGCAGGCAAAAGATCCTTTCCTGGAAATCTTTTGAGAGAGTATTGCAGGACAGCAGGACACCATTTGTACACAATCTCCTTCATAGTGTACAGTAAACAGACAGGAGACCCCCCCCCCCCCCCCCACGGTACAATAGTAAGTGTACATTTGTCACATTTGAAAAGCAGTGAGTGAGTGAGTGAGTGAGTGAGTGAGTGAGTGAGTGAGTGAGTGAGTGAGTGAGTGAGGTTTTACGGCGCTTTTAGCAGCCCAGCAATATTACGACGGGGGACACCAGAAATGGGCTTCACACATTGTACCCATGTCGGGAATCGAACCTTGGTCTTCGGTGTGACGAGCGAACGCTTTAACCACTAGGCTACCCGACCGCCCCTGGAAAAGGAGTGCAGCTGGCTTATCTGATTGTAATCCTAGACTCGAAACCGTATTGTTTTTCAATTGGAGGCCCGTCATGACATGCATCAACCAAGTCGGTGAAGCCTGACCTGACCAAAGAATGACTCAAGGACTCAAAAACAATATGAGTTGGAACTACTTATTAACAACACTACACTGCATCAAAAGATCTTGAAGTAAGCTGCCTAATGAATATTTCCAAAAAGTGATTGGTTGAAACTATAGAAACTCTAAATGTATCAATTTCAGCATGATGGAAGGTGGTCTGGATTCAATGCTGCTTATACGCACTAATACAGGAAAAAGATTAAGAAAGCACAGGACATCAATGCTGAACTCCCAAACTATACCACTATTTGAAGCTGACGATAGATCTTCTCAGAAAGAAGCAAACCCACTTGCTTTAGAATCTCCTTGGTCCATGAAGCACTTGTAAGTGACGCTGCAACCATGGCAACTCACCTTTACCATAATCCTTCATAAAGATGCTTCTAACATGTCTAAATGATAACAGGAGGCACAGGTGGCCCAGTCATCTAAGGCACCGCAATTCGCTGTGCAGAGTTGAGTCCCTTGGGCACACCGGAAACCTATGATTGTGGGTCAAATCCCCGTTCGCCCGGTTATGTTTCTAGGTTTGTCAGCACCATACCCGTGCTCGAGGGTTTCACCGAAGTGGTAAACGTCTGAGACCTGCATCACTTTAGGCTTTCCTCCCACATGCCGTGATATGAATGGAATACAGTTGAAAGCGACATTAAACCCAACTCACTCACTCTAAATTATAACAGACAGAAAGCTTGACAGTTAATTCATATTTGCCTTTGTTAGAATTGATTTTGGTTGGTTGGTTGGTTTTTTGTTTAACGCCGCACTCAGCAATATTCCAGCTATATGACGGCGGTCTGTAAATAATCGAGTCTGGACCAGACAATCCAGTGATTAATTTCATGAGCATCGATCCACGCAATTGGGATCGATGACATGTATCAACCAAGTCAACGAGCCTGACCACCCGATCCCGTTAGTCACCTTTTACGACAACCATAGTCGCCCTTTACGGCAAGCATGGGTTGCTGAAGACCTATTCTACCCCGGAATCTTCACGGGGTGTTAGAATTGACAAATAATGGTCAGTGGGCTGGGCTCTGTGACTCCTAGCGAATCAAGTTCTTTAACCACACCACCCTTTTGTAATACACTGAAACACATCTTGTAGTATTTACACACACAAAATGAGTCAAGATCCAAATTATTGAGCTATGATGGTATTTATCTATAAATTCCTTACTATCACATCAATGTGTGTGATGAAACAAGTCAAATTCAATGTTGGCAGACGTGTGTTGCTATGGAGATATACCATGTCAAGTGGTGGTGTACTTGTCAGATTCGGACTCAAACTGCTGTATCTCTTGCATCGATCAACATCTTTTGTTCAATAAGACTTCAGGTTTTGTCAGTAAGGAGGAAGCTGGAATAACTCAATGTTCAGCTAATGTGCAGCTGGAATAACCCAATGTTCAGCTAATGTGCAGCTGGAATAACTCAATGTTCAGCTAATGTGCAGCTGGAATAACTCAATGTTCAGCTGATGTGCAGCTGGAATAACTCAATGTTCAGCTAATGTGCAGCTGGAATAGCCCAATGTTCAGCTAATGTGCAGCTGGAATAACTCAATGTTCAGCTGATGTGCAGCTGGAATAACTCAATGTTCAGCTAATGTGCAGCTGGAATAACTCAATGTTCAGCTGATGTGCATCTGGAATAACCCAATGTTCAGCTGATGTGCATCTGGAATAACTCAATGTTCAGCTGATGTGCAGCTGGAATAACTCAATATTCAGCTAATGTGCATCTGGAATAACTCAATGTTCAGCTAATGTGCAGCTGGAATAACCCAATGTTCAGCTAATGTGCAGCTGGAATAACTCAATGTTCAGTTTATGTGCAGCTGGAATAACCCAATGTTCAGCTAATGTGCAGCTGGAATAACTCAATGTTCAGTTTATGTGCAGCTGGAATAACACAATGTTCAGCTAATGTGCAGCTGGAATAACTCAATGTTCAGCTAATGTGCAGCTGGAATAACTCAATGTTCAGTTTATGTGCATCAGGAATAACTCAATGTTCAGCCTGAATGCAGCTGGAAAAAGTCTGGTGTTCAATGTATTCGGCTGAAAAAAATAATAGTCTTGGTTCTCAGGCACCGCCCGCATTATCATACAGATCGCAGCATGTTTCGTTTTTATCTCCATTTTCAAAAAAAATTAAAAAATTTAAATCCTTAAATATTCCAATTCCAATGGTAGTCATATACTGTATTCCAGTACTTTACTCATCAAGGAATACATTTCTGTAGAGAGGCCCTTTCCCATGTTGATTGTACACAACTGTTTGTTTGGCTACACAACTGTTTATTTGGTTGCATACTAGTTTGAAAAAATTATTGGAAACAAGAGACACCGCCTTCACGCGAACCAACTCTTTCATATTTTTTTTAAGGCTTAGTATAAACCTGATTCAAAATCCATCACAGCCATCATAAGGAACACTTACCAATTGAAGGCATTGAAATGGAAGTAGACGAGTCCTAACCCATACAGGAAGGGGGCATTCTGTAATGAGAAACAACACATATAACCAACATTATAGCTAAAATGGATTGAATTATCATTAAACCGCCCGCACGTTATCAGAAATGAGCGTGCCACTGTAACTTGATAATGCCCTCATATTGCTTGACGACAGGCCATTATCACGCCCGTTGTTCGGTGACATCATAGGGATAGGGATAGGTGACGTCATGTTCAATGGTGACGTCACCTGGTTTGTTCTATGACATTTCCATATTTGTAAAAGTGGGTCAGTGACATTCGTGTTGATTCAGTAAATGTTTCGAAACCGATATTGTTGTTTCTTTTTATTTGATAACAAATTCCATCCATTTTAGCTATTATAACGGTAATGCTATTTTTCAGGGCATTATCATTTGGAGAAGCCCTCGGTCTTTTCCGGTAATGCTATTTTTCAGGGCATTATTATTTGGAGAAGCCCTCGGTCTTTTCAACTATTCGGTTAATGGAAGACCTCTGGCTTCTGCAAATGATAATGCCCTGAAAAATAGCATTACCCCTTATACATGTAGAAGTGTCAGTGACTGTAGGAGCATTTGAGTGACACAGTCAACAACATAGCAGCTCTTGAGTACCATTGCAGCCTCAGGCATGGAGAACCAGAGAATCAATGCCGATAACTTATCCTGCTTATTATGCAAAATCTAAATCCATTTAGCTAACATGTTTACAACTATGAGGACTGTGTAAAGAAATAAATGATAAGCATTCCAAGGATTTTTCTAGACAGCGTTAGAAATTAGCACTAGTCCTGTAGTCCTTGCCAAACTGCCCAATAGTTGAGGTATCATAAGGACAAGTAGAAATTTGCCATTCTTAAGGGTTGCTATATGTTATTATAAGGACTAGTGGACTAAAACGGTCAGTTTCTATCGCTTCTAGATGTGCTTATTGGTCCATATTCAGCACCAAGTCTGCAGCGAATGTCAGTAAACATTCCCAATTTGGAACTGTACAATTCCCTATTCATCATGTGTTCATGATGTTATAGTAAAACTGATGCTAGGACTTTGTTCTTGTGTTTCACTGAAAACAGGATGCGTAAAGAGGAGTGAGTGAGTGAGTTGGGTTTAACGTCACTTTTAACAGTATTCCAGTTATATCACGGCGTGTCAGCTTAATGTGGGAGGAAAGCCCGAAGTGATGCAGGTCTCAGACATTTACCACTTCGGTGAAACCCACGAGCACGGGTATGGTGCTGACAAACCTAGAAACATAATTGGGGCGAACCAGGATTCGAACCCACAATCATAGGTTTCTGGCGTGACCAAGGGACGCAACTCTGCACAGCGAATCGCGGCGCCTTAGACGACTGGGCCACCCGTGCCCCCGCGTATAGAGGAAGGCTTCAAAGCTCATCTTGACAGTATTTGCATCGAATGTGAGGTAATAATTAAATGTTAAAATACCGGTCCTCTGAAATACCTCTGAATTCAGGAAAATATTAACTTTTAAAAAAATCCGGATTTTGAATGACTTTTTTAAAATTTGCCTGCCAAGGGACCTGGTGCAAACTACTAGGTAAATCCCTGTATTCAGTGAAAGCCCTTAAGCACAGATGTTACAAATGAAGTCACCCCCAAAGGATGAGGATGATTTGAATCCTTTGGGGCACACCGAAACCAACAAAATGTTCCCACCTTCAAGAGAAAATCTTACATGGGCAAGTCAGCGACCAGGCTTGAAATGGATACGTCTCATTCATATGCACCCATCTGAACACTTTCCAAAGGATTTCTAAATGATCTGATCATATTACATCATGCGGATCCCATGAGCCAAAAATCATACCTTTTCCTTTCCAGCTTTATGAATTACAATTTACAAATGTCCATTTGTTTACATGGTATAGATCTTCCCAAAAATAACTGTCCGGAATTTGGGGGTTCTAAGTTTAAACTTAGGGGGGTTTCAATGTAATGGGTCAACAAATTTGTCTGATTTACGCCTCAAATATGAGCTTTTTCGAAGAGAGTAACATTTTGACAAATCCTAGTAAATTTCAGATCTACTTCAAGGGAGGCCACTCTTGTTAGTTGTAATAACCAAGAAAAATTAACACAGAGTTCAATATCAAGTTCTGTTCCCATTAAGTCCTGGGTTATATCATGTAAAAATATTAAACCCAGACAACATCCCTTATAATATATCTGAACATGTTTCCCATAACATTTACCTGATGTACCACACTCACGTTGCATGTTAGCATCTGATAAATTCAAACCTTGAACATGTTGCACTGTGTGAACTTGTGAAGATATATCATCTTAATGGCATTAGGTTCCATGATTAGTTTTTTAAATTAAGGGGACCCGGGGTACCTTAGGTTTGCTGCCATAGTATTTGAATCCAGGGACCCCCTAAATCTGTACTTTATACCATGTTTACCATTAGAGCTAGCCCTAGGACCCCTGAGATACATGCTTCATGTCATACACTGACTGGGGTAATAGGTCTATGCTTGATACACACAAGTCTCAAGAAGATTCCTTGAACAGTTTCTGGTATGGCCATCCCTTTACAAGATATACAAGCATAAAATACTCATATCGCCCACCAATATGACATGTCCAGTTGTGTGCAAGTCAAGAAATACTGTACTGCTTCTAAGATCTGCTCCGAAAAGGAGCACTACAGACATTTTCAGGTCAAAGTCCTTGCCACAGAAACTCAAAAAATAATTTGTTCAAAAATCCCAAAATATCAAAAGGCACCAGTTTACCACCAGACTTTCCTATTTGCAGAAACATTGTACAGTTTTCAAGATCTGTTCCAGAAAGGAGCACTACTACCATTTTCAGTCTAAGTCAAGTCGCTGCCATGGAAACTTGAAAAATAAATTCTTCAAAAATCCCTAACTATCAAAAGGCACCAGTTTACAAGTTGACCTATCTATGTGCCAAGGTTAAGATATCTCTCATGGTTTTTCAGTTCTGCTCTGGAAACGAAACTTGATGGATGGATGGACGGACGGACAGTACCCATTTCTATACCCCCCTTCCACTTCCTGGCAATGGATAACAAGACTATTTGGCCACTGATGACAACACGCTGGTGTCAGTACTCAACCACCAAACCCCTACCATTACCAACCACACAGGGATTTATCCTGGACACCAAACTAAGTGCCCTTGGCAGGCAAATAGGGAAAGAAATAATGGCATTTTGTTCAAATTGGTGAGTACAAAGTCAAAACATTAGTTAATCCCTGAAACCTAGCAGAAGTGTCTGGGGGGACAAGTCAGGAAGCTATTGGTAATGACACAGCCTAAATGATCCCAAACTGAATAATCTAACTAACTTGAATAACTGAATAACTAACCTTCCATGAATCTGGTTGCATGTTGTAAAACTTCTGGTATGCTGACAGGGCTGAAACATGAAACATGAAATCTTTAATTACATCTTTCTAACATGTGTAAACAAATACCACGAAGCATACTTGTCAATTAATGACCATTCATGTGTCATTATCAGTTCAAGGTCAAGGTCAATATCAGTTACTTGGGCCAATAAAACATGTTATTGCGTGAATTGAGCTCAATAAGTGTTTTTATCATGTTTATTACATCAAATAAAAAACTTGAATATTTTATTCGACAATAACTGAATCAGACATAAAGGGATCGAGTCACAAGAGATGAGGGGCAGTCGGGTAGCCAAGTGGTTAACGCGTTCGCTTGTCACCCCAAAGACCCGGGTTCGTTTCCCGACATGGGTACAAAGTGTGAAGCCCATTTCTGGTGACCCCCCGCCGTGAAATTGCAGGAATATTGCTAAAAGCGGCGTAAAACCATATTCAGTCACTCACGAGAGAAGATGCACAACAAGCCTTGCGTTACACTCTCTCTGATAGGTTGAAATATTTCTCTCCTTTGGGTATATTGGCTTAATCACACAGGGCAATATCAAACTTGATAGCAGCATGGCAGGGTGGGTCTCAGGGTGATACCGTGTTATAAGGTAGATCATGTGACCCTTCTCAACCAATGAAAATACAGATATAACTTGTCAATGTAATAAAGCCATTTATCTTCCATGAAAACTGGAGAAACAAAAGTGAAATCATCAAACAAATGTGCCATCCCCAAACTGACACAATCAGGAGCATTAATTGGGATCCAAAATTGTATTCTGACATGATTTTTTTTTTTCAATTTAAATGATACAGAAGGGAAAAGACTTTCAAAATTACAAACATTTATTATTTAGCCTTGGTGAAATGAATTTGATGATAGATGTAATTATTCTTCCAGTTCCAAAGGGCACACCTAAAAATCTTAATCAATACCCTGTGGATACTTGAAAAAAATGTTTCTATCCTTGGTTTCATTATTTATGTGGGGGCACAGGTGGCCCAGTTGTCTAAGGCACCGTGATTCGCTGTGAAGAGCTGCATGTCTCGGGTGAGCCAAAAACCTATGATTGTGGGTTCGAATCCTGGTTCGCCCCGATTATGTTTCTAGGTTTTTCAGCACCATTCCCGTGGTAAACGTCTGAGACCTGCATCACTTCGGGCTTTCCTCCCACATTATGCTTGCCGTAAACAGGATTGGAAGGTCAGGCTCACTGACTTGGTTGTTGATGCATGTCATCGTATCCCAATTGTGTGGATCGATGCTCATGATAACAATCACTGGATTGCCTGGTCCATACTCAATTATTTACAGGCCACTGTCATATAGCTGGAATATTTCTGAGTGGGGCGTTAAACAACAAACAAACACCTTCCAATCAACATCATGAAGATTCTGACACCAAAGGGACGCAACTGCTGTCACATGGACTGCTGGGGCAGCCAAGCCCATTTTTATTTAAACATAAAGTTTGTTTGTTATTTCATGCCATCCTCCGCAGTATTCCAGCCATAAGACAACGGCCTGTAAATAAAAAAAGTCTGGACAAGAAAATCCAGTGATTGATATTGTGAGCAACAATCCTCGCCATCTAGGTATGATATATCAAGTCACTGAGTCTGACCACCCTATCAGATTGGTTACCCATTACAACCAGCATAGGTTGCTGAGGACCTATTCAAACCTGGAAACCCTACGGGGCGACATTTTGTTTGTCTGTTGTTTAACGTCACACTTATCAATATTCCAGCTGTATGATGGCGGTCTGTAAATAATTGAGTCTGGACCAGGCAATCCAGTGATTGATATCATGAGCATTAATTCACACAATTGGGATACGATGACATGCATCAACAACCAAGTCAAGCGAGCCTGACCACCCGATCCCGTTAGTCGCCTCTTACGACAAGCATAGTCCCCTTTTACTTCAAGCATGGGTTGCTGAAGACCTATTCTACCCCGGATAGGGGGCAAGTGACATCTGTGATGTAGATTAGACTGAAATTAGGAATAGGTGGGGTGGAATATACATCATTCATCATGGAAAATATCACAAGACTACTGTCAGACAGTATTGATACTTGACTACTAACAATCTCACAGTCCATACAATAAAACATGATTTAAGCCATGAGGGATCAATCAGCCAGGGCCCCGTTCCTCAAAGCGATCTTAGCACTACAATGATCGTAAGCCTATGTTAAAGTATGGGACTTACGATCACCTTAGCGCTAAGATCACTTTGAGGAACGGAGCCCAGGAGACCTCTTACCATCTGGGCCTCGTTCCTCAAAGTGATCTTAGCGCTACAATGATCGCAAGCCTATGTTAAAGTATGGGACTTACGATCACCTTAGCGCTAAGATCTCTTTGAGGAATGGGACCCAGGACAAGACTTCAAGTCACCTTTAGGGTACTGCTCCAGCAATAGGTGCAGATGACCAAGATGGCAGAAAACCCCAGACTCGACCGGCTTCACCTTCTCTTGCCCCTCACTTCCACTACTGGCAAGGCTAGACTGTTTAGCATGGACACGCAGGAGGTTGTGGTAGTGACTCACACCCTGAAACATTTCACACAACAATATCAGTACAATACTTTAAACTGAGTTTCTTACAAAATATCACAAGAAGACCAAGTAGACTATGTCCTAAATGCTGCAATTCTGTTTGCAGCCTCAGAAATTTGCCATTTTTTTTATGCTAGTCCAGATAGGGAAAACATATAGAGTTTGTAGTTATAAATGCTGGAATGAGACAAAAAAGTTTACAATGTATAAAATGTTTATAATTTCTGTCAGTTTTATTCAGTTCCAATTTGTAGCAACATTAAGGCACTTGACAACTGGTGATTATAGCCCTCAAATACTGCTGGTCAATAAGGATGACGACATATCTGGATTTTTTTCTAGTCCTGAGTTCAATGTGTGATGCCTATTTCTGATGTCCCCTGTCGTGATATTGCTGGAATATTGTTAAAAGCAGCGTAAAACCATACCCACTCACTCACTCTGACGCTAAACTGTCAAACTCACCCTGTCCAGAGTAAAACAACTTAATATTAAACAACCTTAAGCATGTGTGGATCATTTTAGAGCAATCTGTTCAACCTTGGTTTGGCCATAGCATGCAGCTTCTCTAATCACTAATCAGTACCTTTGCACACCTTCAGGGGTAGACACCATTGATTAATGGCCAAGAGGTTTATGTTAAATAGCTAGTTATTCTAGACTTTCACCAGTCTCGATGATGAGAACGTTTTTAACAATTACAAGACTCCTCAAATCAAGGTCAAATCTGCACTTGTCAGACAAAGGAGTGAATAACAATAAACTCTAAATACAACCTATTGGCGTGTAGATATTTAACTATATTTTCTCTTCTACAGATTCGATAGTTTCTCCAGATAAATGCAAAATGCACAAACTACCTGCCCAACTCAGTGATTTTGCTTGCAACATTTGTTAATCAGGACCTTTTCATCATTTAAGCAGATATTGATAGGACACTGATATTCCAAAATGAAAAATATCTTCAGGATATCTTTAATGATATTTAATGATAATTATCTTCAGTCGATCCGCAACCCTGCCCATCTGCATCAGTTACTGTATTTGACATAATAAGCACCCAGGGTGCTCTCAAAATTAGAAATAGGGGGCTCTTATCAGAATATTATTTTGGTGAAAGATCGTAAATTTCGTGGTTTATGCCGACAGCCTGAAATGTTTATATACGACATATATATTTTTCCAGAATTTAATTTCCCAAAGTTAACAGTTAAGAATGCATATAACAGACGTATTATACACGAATATATAAGTCTTGTGTACATTGATCAATCGGAATGGGTGCTAATAGTGATTGTTCACTAGCAAATACATTAACAAAGATCGCCGTGGGCGCTTATTAGAGCGGGGCGCTTATTACGTCGAATACGGTAATACTCTAATTTGTTTCCTAATGTTCTTTATCATGCTTATGTTATCCACATTGTAGTTTACTTAAAATAATATTATCTAAATGTACTTTATAAGCAGTAGATGCATTAAGGAATATCAGGATAAGTTAAAAAATATGATAATGTTATCTCATCAACATGATCAAAGGTTCTGATGCAAATATTTTCCATAACAAATTTTGGTTTTGGTAAAATGTCATCTGGTTAAGCTCAAGCCCATAATTTAAGTTGCTTCAGCCATTACGTTATAAATGTTATCATGCACCATCCAACTCCATTCTTAAGTAGGATGTATGATCTTCATCACTTGGCTCCTAAGGGTTTCTTGGGCTTTGGTCCTGCCTCACACTGAAGCACATGTAACACATGTGGCATCTCCTTGGCAAGTGACTTTGTTCGAAATATTTCATACCTTCTCCAGCAAGCTTTTCTTAGCAGTTCCATCAGATGCATCAAGCTTGACAAATCCAAATTGGCGACTGAAAGAAAAATGTAAACAATGGTAAAAACATAAACATGCTGAAATTATATGCTGTATTAAATATGCAATTTGTTTTCTTGTGTTTACCACGTTTACTGTCAATATTTCAGCCACATGACAGTGGCCTGTAAGTAATCGAATCTAAACCAGATATTCCAGTTATCGATATTGTGAGCAATGATCCATGCTGACGAGGTACGATGAGCGAGATCCCCGAATCCAGCTAACGTCTCTGGGGACCTATTCTAACCTGGACTCCCCACTGGGTGAATATGAAATGCAAATCTCAAACCATGCCCACAAAGCTCATAACATGTCCAAGAACATGAAATTATCACAAAGTCAAAAAAACATGTTAAAACTAATCTGTAATTATTTTCACAACATGATAATGCTGCACATCTAATCATCATGACTGTATTCAGCCTAATTCAGGATCACAGTATTCACACCATACTGGACACAATAATGTATTTTTCAGTCCCTCCCCTAATAATAATAATTACACTTGGTATCCACCATTATAATGAGAAAGAGATAAATCCTACTAAGACATGTTCGAACCTAGGCCCTCTACATCAAGTACAGCTCTCTCAGTCTTATCGTGCTGATACACAAACAGATAAATGACTAATTGTAAAACAATAAATAGTTGCCTTCAGCATGTTCAGTACATAAATATAGGGACAAGCAAAATACATTCTACCATAGTTACCATAATTAAGCTTAACATGTCACAGAAGAGGACATAATGCATATGAGATGGCGATCAAAAATAGGTTAATTGGGTATTCATCAAATGTCTTATAGTTTCTTTCAGACGAGGTAGTACCAATACTTTGTACCATGTTGTTTGTATTTCAATAACAGCCCTGTGAGTTGTGGAGGACTGAACATGTTGAACTTGTGTGGAAGCTAAACTTGGCCAGGCTAATGATTTGATCTAATTAGCCAACTACCACACCACTATCACAAATAAGTAGTACTCGTACCTCGTGATCAGCACCCGATTGTTTACCTTCATCTGTTATCCACACATGCATGGTAGCCATAGTTTCCACAAAATTTGAAACTTGTTAATTCTTTTACAGGATTACCTTAAATAACACTGGAGTAATTCATTACACATGTTAAAAGTGGTGAGATAGCTCACCCTAACTCACAACTAACGTTAAGGATCAGAGAATGGCACTTAACCATGCTGGCCTACAGATCATAATGGGGTGTTTGATCAGAAAGGGCATCCAAGACTAAGGTGAGAGTTGAGCATGACCTATCTTTAGCCTATTATTAGCTGACCTTAGTACTGATCAGAATTTTACAAGACTCGGGCTTCAGACTAGTGTCTAACATCACAGACTGGGACATTTTCATGATTTTAAAGGTTTTTAATAGCATATTCTTCTAGACACATTTCGTCTCCATTTCCAAATTTGGATAAACTCTCTGGTCATTTTGGATGACTATCAGTCAATGTAACAGAAAAATTAACCAATCTACCATGCAATTAGGGACAGATAGCACCGCCAAGTAAACTGCAGCCTTGTCAAGATGAGAAATATGACCACTCCTAAAACTTCTAGGTGTGTGGATGTATCTACATAGACACTATGTGAGAGATTATGACGTTTACGTCCCATTTTCACCAATGTTTTGCATCTTTTTTACAGATGAGACTTGAGCAAATGGCCCTCTAACAATGCATTACTTGTCCAAATCAAGCATATCACATACCTAACATCAATACAGTTAGCCTTGCCTCAAAGTATATGACATTTGTCACAAGTGCACTTCTGCATTTAACCTACTGCGTTTCCATTTGTGGGACCAGGGGAATCCACTCAATGAGGTCACGAGCTTACCTGTCAAAATCTGCAAGTTGCAGACGATCTTCTGCAGAGAGAATAGGTCCATGTGTTTCGGTAGGAGCTTTGGGTGCTTCTTCGACTTCTGCCATGATTAACGCGTCAAAAACGTTAAACCCTATACCTCAAATTATGCTACAAATAGTGCAACGAGATCCCTAACAGACTAAATTTCGGCCATTGTTGTCGCACTGACCTAATTCCGGAAACATCCAATGAAAAGGGTTTTATCAAACTTTTGACCAATCAAGATGAATGTAACAACACAGCCATCAAAGTTATATACAAAACTACGAAAGAATAAAACGAAATAGCGCACAAGCGAAACAACTGTTAAGATTTGCACAGATGACGAGATAACAGTACAAAGTAAATTATTTGCATGAAAATTGGAATTGGCAATATATTAAATATATCTCTACTAAAAAGTCACTAATCTTTTTTAAACGAAATTGTAACGTTCCTTCTTAACATATACTACTAAACATTTCAAACGGTTATTCTGGGTGTCTAGATGTGGGATAAATCTGATTGGGTAATTAAGTAAAGTATACATTAAAACAGCGAATACAGTGTAGTATGAAAGGTTGTCTGGTCATGTTTGTTTTCATCATACTGAGAGCACTGATAAACAGATTGGCAGTAGTTTAATTGCGAGACCAATCAAGTAAAGATTTATTTTCGCAGCAGTGTGCACGTCAAACTTATTCCATGGCTGTATCAATATGTGCATTTAATTTTATCAATACCAATCTAGATGATGATAATAAGCAAACCTAGCCAGCAATTTCCACGTGAATTTAGGACCAGAAAAAAAATAGTTTGTCAGAAGAGAGGAATGTACTGTGTATTGAAACAGTCATTGACTACATATTAGTAATGTATACATTTTATTATCATTTTAAACGCATATTCAATATATGATGGCAAACATGTGACATTTTTCGCAATATTGAGACTCGCCGATGGTAGAGGTGTTAAGCACTCACTTTTAAGTAGGGAATGCTGTGTAAATTAGTTGGGTTTTTTTCAGTCAAAAACAATTGGAGGTGACGAAATTGGCTAATTACATGTTAATGCGTAACCATCACTATTCATGTAACGGATTATGCATTTACTGTCTAGAAATGTTGCATTTTGAATATTCCCGCTTGTACGATTTAATTGTAACCAAGTATATTTCCGATGGTGATTAATTTAATTCCGATTTAATAAAATACACAATTTGTAGTGTTTGTTAAGAAGTATATTCGAGTTGTATTCATTTGATAGTGAATTAGGATGAGTGTGATATGCAGGTTAAATTTCGATGTTAATGGCTTATAAATAATATTTAAAATATAAATCTATATTTCACATGCCGGGATTTTATTGGTCTTTTGATGTTTCCAGTACATGTATTTTGGTGTGTTTTTCAGTTGAGTAAGAACGTTTGTATATGATCAAAGGAATTCCCGAAATAATACAGACTGCAGATAGCACCAACGGAGAAACAGTGATGTTGCATTGCAGCGCAGTTTGATAATAATAAAGTAATAAATTGTAATACAACTGCATTAAACCTCCTGTTAATATGTTCAATTTACGACTAACTAATTGATAGATAGGGTACATAGAAATATAACACCTGTATGATTATATGGGTTTATAATATATTAAATGGATACAAAGTAATGACGGACCAGCGCAAAATTGTTCTCCAGACGTTCACTGTAAGAACGGATCCGTGAAATATCAGACTGAAAACAGAGACCATATCTGTTACCATAAAATAGACTTCCAGTGTTAGAAATTGGCAGTAGTCCTGTAGTCCTTGCCAAAGTACCCAATAGTTAAGGCATCATAAGGACTAGTAGAAAATTTGCCGTTTTTCAAGGGTTTTGTTATATTGTATCATTATAAGGACTAGTGGATTATAAATGTTAGTTTCTATCGCTGTTAAACCATACAAATGGTCCGTTTGAGTGATATATTTTTGAAGTATACCCTTGATAAAAAAGTAAACGACATGGTTTTGCAAGCCTCTATAGTACACGTACTGCATTCGGGGTCGTTCTACCCAGTCTTTGAACTGTCTACCTATACATTCATGAATATAGAAATGTTTGTGGAGCTTTGTAATTTATTATGTTATATAATGATTATTTGTTTTAACACTACCCCATATCTATAAACGGCTGTATGTGAATTCGTAATCAATCTTATTCGTAGCCATGGAGACTTAGTAGCCACTCCCACCTCGTAGACAATATTCACGGTGAACTCGTAGACAATATTCACGGTGAACTCGTAGACAAAACAAACAAAACTGGGGACTAGATCACAACAGCGACATGGAAGCGCATATTGTCTCGCAAAGAAAATACTCCGAAACATAAACGAAACTTGTCTTCCATTTAGGAAGTGACCCAACGAAACATATGCCTCTTGATGAGGTAAGACGTCAATATTCCGAAAAGTGTTAAATTAATGTCAATATTAAAAACGTGTCTACGAATTCAATGTATATTGTGTCCACGAGTTGGCGCATATACGCATCCCTTATAAACACACTGTCTTTATGTTGAAAAAGCCTGCAGGCGTATTAATAATTGGATATAAGGAATTTTGTATGGCTAAACTTCCTGCTTACCCAATTGGCCTAATTTATCGATAGAAGTGGCTAATATAGTTTAATTTATTTAAATAGAATGTATACTAAATTAATTATTTGGGTTCATAGTGCTTTGGTTACATATTCTGTTTATCATCCAAAACTGGCTCCAACAGGAGATATCGCTTGGATGAGATCAAGCGATATCTACACTGTATATATCGATTTTGCGATATCTACACTGTAGATATCGCTGCAATAAAATTACATCACAATGCTTTGCAGACCATTGTGACGTCACTGGTTACCATGACGTCACAATCAAATGACATCACTAATGGCTCTGCACTGAAGCTGTTTGCAGTACTTTTTACACTGAAGACACTGCTAATTACTGTCTACAAATTGAAAAAGTTGAAAGAATGATGTTGGATGATAAATAAAATCTCACCCTCGTGTCTTTTGATATCAAATATATCAACACTCGTTGATAAAAGTGGCAAAAATCCTCGGCAAGCCTCGGATTTTTCCACTTTTATCAACTCGTGTTGATATATTTGATATCAAAAGACACTCAGGTGAGATTCTCTATTTATCATCCAAAACTGGCTCCCACAGGAGATATCGCTTGGATGAGATCAAGCGATATCTACACTGTAGATATCGCTGCAATGAAATTACATCACAATGCTTTGCAGACCATTGTGACATCACTGGTTACCATGACGTCACAATCAAATGACATCACTAATGGCTCTGCTACTGAAGCTGTTTGCAGTACTTTTTACACTGAATACACTGCTAATTACTGTCTACAAATTGAAAAAGTTGAAAGAATGATGTTGGATGATAAATAAAATCTCACCCTCGTGTCTTTTGATATCAAATATATCAAAACTCGTTGATAAAAGTGGCAAAAATCCTCGGCAAGCCTCGGATTTTTCCACTTTTATCAACTCGTGTTGATATATTTGATATCAAAAGACACTCGGGTGAGATTCTCTATATCTCTACTTTTTCATGATAAAATATTCGTAATTGTCCATTAAGTTTCATATGTTTGATCATCCTAATCATGCTCAAACACAGCCGCTAGGATTGTCTCGTGCTTTTGCAAGTATCATCACACCACCCCTCTACTTAACAGCATACATTGGCTTCCAGTTCGTCAGAGGATAAGAGACAAACCTCTGTCTTGTCTACAGATGCCTATCCGATGATGCTCCATAATATGTGTGTGACCTGATGACCAGATTTCTCTGTGATTGTGCGCTTCGAGCATGCAACGCGCATGGAATAATGCGTGATAGAATTTGACTATTGTCATTATTTAAGTGATATAACTAATACATCAGTAAGGATAAGATATATGAATGAACAACCTCTTTATTACAGTTTGGAACGAGGTTTGGGTGTAGGTTGCTCGCTTGATAACGGTGTTAGAAACATATCTTATCAGGGTATGAAACTCCCAAAAACTTTCAGCCAGTCCACAGTCCTGGCTACCTGAAATACTTGCCAGCCCTGACCAAAACCCGCCTGCCCACTATAATCATATGTTTCTCAGGATAAGCTAAAGGGGTTTCTTTTTGGTTACATTTTACCATTCATCTTTACATGTGAATTAATGCTTATCATCGGGAAATATTTAGAATATTTTCACATATGAAATATAACCCGACCGTCGGGCAGGGGAATTTAAAAATCTGGCAGCCCGAGTTGAAATCAACCCGTCTCGGACGGTCGGGCAGGCAGGTATTTCGAACACTGATCTTATCCTTACTTACATTAATAGGAAATATATACAAAGTGACCACTATAGATATCCACATATTGTAAACAAATGCACATGTAGTGAAGGTTGTTTTGTTCTTATTAACTGTTGGTGGATTAAATACACATTTGTATGCAACACGAACGTAGAGTTCTCTGTGGGGTTTATCCCACTTCTGATGGCCTGTTACTCGTTTAAGAAAACGTGTTCTAGTTTTAGAAGCAACCTCGGTTCCGTTTCCGGTATATTCCCATGAAGTTTTAGTTCTGTTAACAATTTTCATAACGTTCACAGGCAGACGTATTGGTAAGATCATTGTTAACATATGTTTTCACAAGATCCGGAATCCCTATATTATTTACGCAGACAATGAGGGTTCTTCGTAGCTATTCCCTGCAAAACGACTGGGACTGATGACGGACGTCATTGACTGAGTATAACCCTGAGTCCAGGGGCGAAGCGATCCGCGTCACACTCACGGCATCAAGGAGTCTGCTGAATGAATAATTGTTCTGTTAGACAGATGTGACTCCCATTCCCAGCTGCAGAATTAAATACATGAGCCAACTGATCAGTTTTGTATAGAGTTTGCTTTGTACACACACAATCCGATGTGAAACAAGCTGATAGTGATAACACTTACTTTCAGTTTTGTCCCTGACTAGCTATCGGCAGAACCAAGTCCTGCAGATCAGTATATATTATATATAGTTTACTCTACTTTGTCAAGCTGATAGTGATAACACTTACTTTCAGTTTTGCCCCTGATTAACTATCCTGCAGATCAGTATATTTGCAGGCCGAGATTATATGAGAATAGATGAAAATGTTTTTATGCTGATAAACACAAATTTATCAAGATGAAAGGGAAATCAATGCACAGAAAATCTAAACAAAATTGTTTATTTACTAATTTGTGAACAGGGTATATATTGCCCACAGCTTTTGTTAATTCTGAACACAAAACAGTAGAATTTATTGATCAACCTTTCTAGCCACGTCAGCCATCTGACTGCTGGCAATATGATGGAAATATAACAACTATGTGACACTATATTGCAAATATTTATTAATTGTGATCACAGATTATAGCATGAGATATTATAAAAAGCATACATAAATGTCAAATATTTGGGTCATTTTCCATTTGGGCCAGGGTAATTTTCGTCATAACCCAAAGCAAATGCTGAGCATCGGAGGACAGTTGTCTGAGAAACTTGTCTGCCTTGCTGTTTTTCTCTGCAGAACATTTAAAGTGCAATGTGTTGGATAAATTTTCTTTAAAACATGGCTTGCAAATATTTCAGATGTGTAAGTCAAGGTTGTCTGTGATTATCAAGTTTCATTATCATGATAGTAGGAGAGTCTGATTGCATATCTATATAACTCAGTTCCAGTCATCTTCCACATCATTTTACTGTGTTTTTACCAGATAGGTTCAAGATAATATGGGTGAGCCATCAGAAGAATATGAAATTCTTGACCTGTCAGAATACCGAAACAAAGATTGGGTGCAAAAGATGTTCGGGGACATCACCAAACAGTCAGCAGCGAAGCAAGTCGTTGTCGGAGCAGCAGGGGGATGGTAAGCTGTCTTAATTAGGTCATCCATGAAGATCCAGGGTAGAATAGGTCTTCAGCAACCCAATCTTTGCTTTAAAAGGCGACTATGCTTGTTGTAAGAGGCGAATAACGGGATCAGTTGGTCAGGCTCGCCGATTTGGTTGATGAATGTCATCGATCCCAATTGCGTGGATTGATGCTCATATTAATCACTGGATTGTCTGGTCCAGACTCGATTACTTACAGACTGCCGTCATACCGGTGAAATATTGCTGAGTGCGGCGTTAAACAACAAACCAACAATAACTAACAGTAGTCATCAGAGCAGCAGAGGGATTGTAAGCTGTTTTAATCAGGAGATTAACATGTGTTTTCAGAGTTGCTAGTATAATGAGTTTTTGATGCCTGGAAATTTCAATTTGAATTTAAATATAAAGTTCAAATATAAAATACTAACAATGCTAAAGTTTAGTCATAATTATTAATATGAAACACTCATCTACGTGAACTCTAATAGTTATGAAACAGATATGACGTCAATCTGGAATGTGATGACGGCATGATACAATGATAACGTCACATGCTTCTGTGCACGTTTTTCTAATATTGGATTAAGAAGATATATTGATCATTGTGTTTATATTAGGGTTTCGCAACATATATATTTACGTAAAATCACGTGGAAACTTCTTGACTATAAATACTTTAGAGCAGGTTTCAAAGCAAAAGCTAGCTGTAGACACATGCTGGTAGCGCCTTTTTTTATTAGTAAACTTGCAAAGCCTTTCACAAAACATGTTGTATTATTTGACTGACAAAAACCCAGGGGTTGGGGTGGAGGTCATTAAAGAATTAATTTTTTTAACAAGTGCATTGTGTTGTATTGATACAGAAAAAATTGTGTATCATATCCTTGCATGAAAACTCACGATGCCGCAATTTATCGTTTCACCCCTACTGTCAATGTTGGGGAACTGTAACATGGGTTATTTAATGTATTGACTTGTTTGTGAGGTTCATTAAAATTGTTACACATATTTTAGTAAATCTCTTTGAGAATTCCTGGGGACGTTAGGCCTCGAGATTGCAGTAGCCAGGGTTCACAGACTGGTCAGTTTAAAGTGACTTAGCTGACTGCATGTCAGCATGCAGAGATGGTGTGGATTGTTAATCATGCTTTCAGTCACTGGTTTGCCAGGTCCAGATGTAATAACTTACAGTCATCGTGATAGGTCTGGAATATTGCAGCGTTACACACATTCACCCATTCACAAATCTATCGGTGATGGTAGATCTCAGTAATTCCACTTACTCGTTGAAGGTGTCACCTGAATTTCTCATGCTTTCATTCACTGGTTTTCTGGCCCAGATTTGATTATTGTCTGACTGCTACCTAAAATAACATTTATTTACTTGTTGAGGAAATCACTTGAATTGCTCATGGTTTCAGTCACTGGTTTCCTGGTCCAGATTTGATTATTGTCTCACTGTTCATCTTTCAGGTTAGCTGGGTTCCTGTTCATCAAAGTAGGAAAAACAGCCGCTGCATCACTCGGGACAACCATCCTGCTTGTACAGGTAACCATAGTAACAATATTAAATTACATCCTGCAGGCTAGGATCACATACCTCTTCACGTGGATATCATTTGGGGGTTCTAGGATAGAATAGATTAATACATTGCAGTGATTACTGTAAAAGTTCAGTCTTAGTAAAATTGGATTGTAGCAAAGTGTTACCTGGCTGATTGTGTGTAACTTGAGGGCATGAATGAATGTTCATGCCATCAACCACTGGGCCAGATTTATCTATTGGATGCTGTGATATATATATAGCTGTAGTAGCATTGCCATCAGTGGCATACACATCCAATCGTACGTCTGACCAGTGTTTCTATAATTGTGTTACAGCTCGCTCAACATCAAGGCTACATCCGTGTCAACTGGAACAAGGTTGAACAAGGTGTGAACCGGGCCAAGAAAGAACTACATAAAGAAGCCAACAGGCGGTATCCTGGGATCTTACAAAATGTACGACAGATATGTAACCAAGTGCACATTTCAACCATTTGTCAGTTGACGTGTTGTGGTTGTTGATGTACAGCCCTACCTGCTTATAGTGCCACCTTTTGTCCAGCAGACAATATGGCCTTGTAACCAGTGTGGCATTATAACAAGGGTGGCATTGTAACCAGGATAGCATGACCAGGATGGCATTATGACCAGGGTGGCGTTGTAACCAGGGTGGCATTATGACCAGGGTAGCATTATAACCAGGGTGGCATTATAACTAGGATGGCATAACCAGGGTGGCATTATAACCAGGATGGCACAACCAGGGTGGCATTATAACCAGGGTGGCATTATAACCAGGGTGACATTATAACTAGGGTGGCATTATAACCAGGGTGGCATTATAACTAGGATGTCACAACCAGGGTGGCATTATAACCAGGGTAGCATTGTCAGCAGGGTGACATTATAACCAGGATGGCATTATAACCAGGGTGGCATTATAACTAGGATGGCACAACCAGGGTGGCATTGTAACCAGGGTAGCATTGTCAGCAGGGTGACATTATAACCAGGATGGCATTATAACCAGGATGGCACAACCAGGGTGGCATTATAACCAGGGTAGCATTATAACCAGGGTGACATTGTCAGCAGGGTGGCATTATAACCAGGGTGGCATTATAACTAGGAAGGCACAACCAGGAAGGCACAACCAGGGTGGTATTATAACCAGGAAGGCACAACCAGGGTGGCATAACCAGGGTGGCATTATGACCAGGGTGGCATTGTCAGCAGGGTGGCATTATGACCAGGATGTTTTAATAATCAGGGTGGTATTATAACCAGGGTCGCACAACCAGGGTGGCATTATTACCAGGGTTAATGTTCTGAATTCGTCACACTCACATACTTGTTTTTAGCTATGTTGAACACCCGTGAAGATCTGGTTCAGAATAGGTCTTCAGTAACCCATGCTTGCGGAAAAGGCGACCAGGCTTTCTGTAAGAGGCGACTAACGGGATCGGGTGGCCATGCTCGCTGATGCATGTCATTGAATCCCAATTGAGTAGAACAATGTTCCTTGTCTGATCCAGACCACAACTGGTCGGTGGCTAGTGATGTGTTTAAGTAGCCCCCTGTCATCAAACATTGGCATAACACGTGTAAAATGGCCGCAGCTGGTCGGTGGCTAGTGATGTTTTTTTTTTAAGTTTAGTGCACTCAGAGAAAAGTGCTGATGGGGAATGGTACATTTTTGCATGAAAGCAACATATTTTCTAGAAGACTGTTAATCTTGTATTGTGAAGTAATGATTCACCGATCATAAATATGTTTTTTTTTATTCCAGGCAAAGAAATTTGTGCAACAGAATGTCTTACTTGCTGGGTCCTTTGCTGGCGGCTTTTTCTTCGGCATAGCTTTCTGAGTGCCTTGAGTGACACAGTAACTGTATCCTGGCATGATGTGATGTGTGATACAGATGACAGTGTGTGATATTAACAGTGTGGTGCCTCTGTTTGGGGACCACGGGAATCGTTGACTCAAAGACATTTGGCGTTTGGGAGCAACTGAGGGATGATGTACCAAATTTTCTACCCTTGTCTGTCCATACACAGCCTTGAGTTTTCTTGATCTGACTTGAACAAAAAAGCTTGGACAGACATCACACCAACTTGTTTCTAAACTGAATATCTTTTTGACCCTGTACCTAGAAAATGGAATTCAGTTGATGTTCAAGAGAATGAAGTTTATCTGGCAATTAAGGTTTAGTCATTAATCAAGCTGGTCAGTGCTTGTAGATCCATCTGGCATGGACAAACAGACATATTTTTCAATACTTTGTGCATACACTATAAACCTAGAAACTACCTATCACTAAAAGTTTATCATGTACCTTGAAATTAAATGCTTAACTTTACCATGTGTTTGTTGCAAGAGGCGACAAACGGGATTGTGTGGTCACCCCGCCTTGGATGATGCATGTCATCGTATCCCACTTGCGTGGGTTGATGCTCATGATGTCAATCACTGGATTGTCTGATCCAGAGTCGATTATTTATAAACTGCCATCACAGGGCTGGAATATTGCTGAGTGTGGCGTTATACAGCAAACAAACAAAACTTAACAGCAGATGACAGAAACTAAATTTTGAGTTATTCCCCTTAGATCTATTTCATTTGGAAAATATCATGAATATCTGGAGAAAGGCATCTTACATCATAATGCAAGATTCCATGTTTAAACTACCATGTGTTTACTAACATACACTATAGGTTATGGCAGGATCAAGAGCGGTACATGGGATTTTATGCATCCCTCGTTAGGTTTATACCACTCGCCTCAAGCTTGTTGTATAAAACTTCACGCAGGACGCTGAGAAATTTATTTCCCTCGCAGGGGGGATACATCGTATTTTATCAAGATCATGTGCACAATCAGATCTCAACGTTCTGACATGGAGGTATGATTATACTAAATATATCATCTTCTATCTTTGACTGCTGCTGTAGTTATTACTTTGTCAACAGTAAAAAAAGCAAAGTGGGTAGGATGATAGTCATATACTTGAAGCCAACCATTGTTGAATGATGGATAGATTCAACAGCTGGCAAACAGATGCACCCAAAAAGAATGAATGCTGTTGATGTTTCAGTATTAGATGATTTCTACTTCCTGGTTTTGGTTGTGTTCTGTTAATATACCTGGTATATTGTTTCCTTTGATGAGTATCACTATGACATGGACTCATGATATAATGGTAGACATGTTGAATGATTGTTGGATGAATGTTGAATTGTTCTCAACAAAATTTTGTATATTATTTATTTTGGTTCTGCTGACCTCAGCTTTTTCTCTGTAATGTCGGCTATAAGAAATACAGTGATACGTGTAATGCTGTTCTCTGGGTGGTAAGACTCTCGGTGTTCTTGTCTTCTTGTAATCTAAAACGAAATCTGAACTTCATGCATGTCCCATGCTCTAAAAAAAGTTTGAATGAGTACATGGTGAGTGTGTTTGGGTGAATGACACTTTGAAACGTATTTCCGCTATAACATATCTTTTCAGCTTAATGTATGTGGAAAATGATGCAGACCTAAAATACTGACCACTATCATGACAAAGGACCAATATCAAACCTGGGACTCAAACCCATGATCATTGAATCCAGGCATGCCTAAGGGAAGCAACTCTGCACAGGTATATGGTGACGGATGACTGGAACACGTGTGTCACCTTCGAAGGGTTGAATGACATGAATCAGTTTGTATGGAATGTACCACAGGTGATGCTAAGCTGTGGGCGTCTAAGTGAATTTCAGGATGCAGTCAGTGATACAGATTCGTCTTTCGTGATCATGAAGTTATTTGCAATGTATATAAATGGTACCAGTGTTAAATGGTAAGGCTAGGTATGTGAGTTGAGACTACCACATATTTGATCAGTATTTAAGTTATGTTACAGCATATAAGCTACTGTTAACTGTATATCTTTTAGCTGTAAATTATTTTGAATGGATATGAATGATGATAAAAAGGCAAATGTCTATTACTTGCTGTGTTAATTATGGATTTTAACCTTCTGATTTACATCTTTTGACAACTTTCCCATTTTCATGGAAACTTTAAATAACTTTAGGACAGGTAAATACTTCTTTCCTTCACTGAAATGCCATGTACACAATGATGCTGGCATCAGATTAGCTGTTTAAGCCGGAACCTTGTTATTGTGATTTGAAACCTCTGACTTTATCAGAGTCAATTGTCCACCAAACTTGTGGTGGAATAAGTAACAGTTAACTTTAACAGTGAGCATGTTGCTGCTGAGTAATATGTGCTATTTGTGTGAGCGTGACGTGTACTTTGTCAAGATAACTGAGATTCATTTTGTGTTTAGTCAGAAAGCAGATATGCACCAACTACATGGATGTTTACAAAAGTCCATGATTTCTGTTAACAATTGTTTGTACTTTTCCCGCCACACTTTTCATTATGAAGAAAGTGCTGATGTCCAAATGTAAAAATAGTTTCATGTTTAACTTGGACATTGCAGATCCCTTATATTCCTGGTCGAGGTCAATGGTGGTCATATCTGGGCTTGATGATTTTTTTCTCCCTGTTTGAATGTGTGTTTGAAGTAAAAAATGTAGAATGTCTTGCTTCTTGAAGACAGTGAATTGAACGCATATCCTGTGCAGGTATTTCAGTGCTTTAGGTCTGCAAGGTCGGCCCCATTTGCTGTTCCTGTGCCATGTAAAGTGTGCATGTTGACAATATAACAAATAGAGTGCAATGTCTTTTTCAACATATTTTACACAGAATGGTTTGTATGCTGATTTGGCTTACATGGGAGTAAATAAAACAATATACAATACCTTCAACAAGTGTGTGTTTCATCATTATCATTAACATGCATAGATGCATACATCCTCACTCTTGGGAGAAAATAGGTGCGAATTATACATTGTGATAACACGCTTCTGGGGGCATAGTATCAGTATTCTCTGATAATATAGTAGGGAAGTGTAACAGGTTGTGTTAACATGGATCTTTAGGCACACCGTCAGTAATCTTTGATAATATTATAGGTAGATCTTGGATAGAATAGGTCATCAGGAACCCATTCTTGCTAGAAAGGCGACAATGCTTGTCATGAGAGACGACCATTGGGATCGGATGGTCTGTCTCGCTGACTTGGTGATGCATCAGAAGGTTAGATACATTGAGATAACATGGATCTCTATGCATACGAGACCCGTGAAGATCCGGGGTATAATAGGTCTTAAGCAACCCATGCTTGCTGTAAAAGGTGACTCATGATGTCAATCACTGGAAAGTCTGGTCCTGACTGGATTAGTTACAGACCACTGTCATACAGCCGGAATATTGCTGAGTGCCACGTTAAGCAACAAAGCAACCAACCAACTGTGCATACGATCAATAAGTTATGATAATACATTAGGTATGTACGACTCATCCTGCTATTATCGACCAATATGCATATATATTTATGGGTTATACTGTCAATTTTGAGCATCAAATTCAAGTTCTTTGGATTTTGAGCCAACACGATCATGATTCTTGTGTGATTGATCAGGATGAAGGTTGCAGAATGCTACACTTGATACATCTATGTGCTGTCAATTTTGAGCATCAAATTAAAATCAATAAAAATATACAAAGTAACACAAGAATGAGATTCATATGATTTAATTACTAATTCATAGCTATGCACAAATAAAAATATACATATTTGTATAACGTTTGATAGGGATAATCAGATATGTCATTCTATTTAAATAAACACTTGACATATAATGACAATAAGTTTTGTGTCTATTAATCGTGAGACTGCAATTTCATCCACATATACAGACAACATGGGCTAGGATTAACACAGCATACATGCAACATACAAATTACACTGATGAATACATAGATGAATGTCACCAGGTGAAATAAACACTCAATCAAATTGGATTTGTACAACCATACAGTATTGGTTTGCACTAACGTTTATAATATTGTGTCCAAAGTTACATTGTGGTAAGCTGTTGTACATACAGTGAAACCTGGTTAATCAGGTTGGTTTAATGCAGCTTTCGACAGTATTTCGGTCCTATCATGGCGTCTCAGCTTAATGTAGAGGAAACGCCTAAAGTGATGCATTCCTTAGACATTTATCACTAATGTTCTCCCAACGAACACAGGTATGGTGCTGCCAAACAAAGAATCATAATCAGGGATAATCCCTCCTCCCGAGGCAAGGGAGTTAACCGACTATAAAGTCCTGTTCCCACCCGTTGAGTACCTTAATTAAAAACATGAAAAGATTTGCAAAACCTTTTGTCGCTGCCAAGTTGGCAGTGCACATGCTTTGCAAATCTTGCAGCCAACGAAATCTGCACGTTGAAATCCATGATGACTAGTTCATTACACGATTTTGATTGGCCTATGCATAGACTCGTAACTGTGGAACTCCTGCCTAGTTTGGCAAGGGTGAAAACTGTTAACTCCCTTGCCTCACGAAGATGGGGCTATCTGAAGTTAGAACCCATGATCAACGTCTGCACGGTGAGCTATGGCCTGTGAGAGGACTGGACCACCAGTACACCCTGATTAAAATAAGCTATGGGTGATATAACAGTTATTTAACATAATGAAAACATGAGGACGAAGAAATAATGGAATCTGAAGTAATATTTCAAAATCTTCTGTCTTGCTGAGTAACATGCAACATTTTACCATGTCATAAAATATTTTATAATTTTAAAAAAGGAAGTTTTGAGTCAAGTCTCTTCTTTCGAAGAATATGTTAATCATGAACTCTTTTTAATAAACATTCTATCATCATGATCCTGTCCCAGCTAGCACACCTACATCGGGTCGACATTGGCAATTAAACGGCCACTATTGGCATTATATGAATAGAGAAGCTGTTTTTTTCTTTCTGGTTATTTACTTATGGTGGCATTATTGAGTCACGAATATCAAATACAAGAGAATTACAAATGTGCCTAGTTTCAGCCATGACAGCAGTAACCATGTCATTAATATAACTTATTCATGTTTGGATTTAACATATTTATTTTACATTATCACACCTTCACAAACAGAAGAAATCTTGTTCTGAGAGAATGTTTATATGTTGTGTTTGCACTAGCTTCAGCAAAAGCAACGAATAACCATGTGGAATAGTTTCAGCAAATACAGCAATAATTTCATCACTACAAGATTCATGTGTGGGTTTAAACAAATATTTTCTGTATTAAATCAACATAAGCAGAAGAAATTTTGTTTGGAAACAATTTTAATATTTTGTCGGGACCAGATAGTGGCGAGGTACAAATTTCAGCAACTACAGCAATAATTTCATTACAACAAGTTTTATGTATAGTATATAAAATCAATATAAGCAGAAACTGTTTTGTTTTGAAACAATTTTTACATTGTGTCTGTACACTCGCTTCTTTGCGACATACCTCACATCACATTTCATCAGAAGATGTTACTGTAGCATAATTTCAGCCAATACAGCCATAATTTAATCAATTAAATTAAATTAAAATAATTTCACATGACATTTCAGAAAGTTGTTGCTGTGACACAAGTTCAACAACTACAGCAATAATTTCATCATAACAATATTAGTGTGAGTATATAAAAGAATTGTTTTTATCATAATAAATCAATATAAGCAGAAGAAATCGTGTTTGGCGACAATTTTTACATTTTGTCACTGCATGTTCTCACTTGTATCACATCACATTTAAGTAAGTTGTTGCTGTGGCATAATTTCAGCAACTACAGCAATAATTCCATTATAACAACATTCGTGTGAGTATTTAAAACAATTGTTTTATCATAATAAATCAATATTAGCAGAAGAAATCGTGTTTTGAAACAATTTTTACATTTTGTCTGTGCACTCACTTCTGTTTCACATCACATTTCAGAAAGTTGTTGCTGTGACATAATTTCAGCAACTACACCAATAATTTCATCACAACAATATTTGTGTGGGTATTTAAAACAATTGTTTTATCATAATAAATCAATATTAGCAGAAGAAATCGTGTTTTGAAACAATTTTTACATTTTGTCTGTGCACTCACTTCTGTTTCACATAACATTTCAGAAAGTTGTTGCTGTGACATAATTTCAGCAACTACACCAATAATTCCATCACAACAATATTCGTGTGAGTATTTAAAATAATTTCCAACTCCAGGAGAAACCAGGAAAGTAGTGAAACCAGACATGTGAAGAACTTGGTTGTATTTTGTACACAACAAACAGAACACAAACCGAACACTTCTATGTCCGCTTCACTCACTTTCCCCGCCTGACATTGAAACAGTTGATAGAAATCTCTCAGTCACACGGACAACTTGACATAACCAGTTTATTTCCTATCTCAGCGCTTGGTAGACGAGGGCCCTTTTGATGTCTGTCATGTCCACGTCCTCCCCGCTGATCAGATTCATCGACACAGTGGAGACAGATGGTGGCCACCCAGCACTAAACACGGGGACAAGAGGTTCCCGGAACACCTCATCATACTTGACAAGAACAATCCCCCTGTCCAAGTCAATGAAGGCCACTCTCCCCCTCCCCACATCCAGCACCACGCCATAGTGGAGGGTAGCCTGTGTGCCGGCAGTGGGGGACATGGTGTTCTGGTGACACTCGCCCTGCTTCCTCTCCCGATACACCCTGGTACAGATACTCTCCCTGTGTCTGCCACATCTGTCTACACTGACACTCCAGGAGCGACGCTGTAGAGAAACACGGTACTCACTGTCCACATGTCCTGCCTCGCATAGCCCCATCTCCAGGACATGCCACGACACTCCCCTCACCACCCGCACCCTGGTCTCTGTCTCCCAGTATGTTGGTGTGGTGGGGAGGGGGGTGAGGGTGGAGGGGGGTGGAGGAAGGGGGATGGGGGAGCTACAGGTCCCCATGTACTCCTGTAGCCTGTTCCGCCCCTCATCCCGTGTGTCGGGCGGCGAGTTGACCAGCTCACCGTCTGTAGTTACGTGGCACCAGCCTGTGTTGGCCCGAGTCGCGTCCAGGTGACGTTTAGGACCTGGAAATAAACATTGTATTTGTCGTGTAGTAAGTTTATTTCACTGTTTGTTACAAACTGAGACACAGAAAGAGATTTACTGAAAATATCGGCTGATTGTTTGCTTGTTTCCAAACAGCGCGCTGAATGTTCGTCTGTGTTTTTCATCAGTACAGAATATCTCCCACAACTGCGCTATATTAGCGCGTTAATTACAATGTAAAACTATTACTACGAGAATTCAAAATGCATTTCATTAAGAAACAAATGGATCAATTTACCGTAAAATGCAATATAAAAGAATTTTTGGTACACTTTTGATTTACCCCCATTGTGGAGATATCTGCCAGACGTGTGTTGTGCGTGGACGATGTTCGTGTATGAAATACGATCTCAGTGAGTGAATTTCCCAACAAAAGTGTTTGTGTGTGGATTCTATATGAATCTTTTACAGAATAGGATGAAAATAAACTAAAAAGTATCGTGTTTTAGGATATTTTTGACATTTTTGTGTTCATCATCCACAGCATGAACAGGTATATTCTATGTCCGCTTCAGTCACTTTCACCGTTACACCGTCACAGTCTGTGTGTCGCCATGTACAGGTGTGTGTGTGTGTGTGTGTGCGTGCGCGTGCGTGCGTGCGTGCGTGCGTGTGTGTGTGTGTGTGTGTGTGTGTGTGTGTGTGTGTGTGTGTGTGTGTGTGTGTGTGTGTGTGAAACGTTAAGTGAAGGACAGCATTGTTTAAATTTTCTTTGAGTGTCTCGCATTATGTTTTTAGTATTACTATTAGAGATCGCAACGCAGTACTTTCTCAGAATCTAGATTGGCACATTACCTCTCGGCCGTTTCTCAAAGCCCCAAACTCCCATATCAAATCCTACATGAAATTGTTTTATGCCTGCAGTATTGAAGACGAAGTGCATTTTCTGATAACTTGTAGTCGTTATTGAGACTTTATCTCCTACAGGTCAGACCATATGCATTCTGCATGCGGTGTGATTATTTAAAAAAAACAAACTCACACGATTGATCTTGTTATTGTAAATACACCCCGACTGATACAGTGTTGCTTTTTGTGTCGGGGTGTTATAAGGAAACAATTTAAGGTAACACACGGTACTACAACCCAGGGATAAGTTTTTCTCTCGCCTCATTGCTATCCAAATGCATCCCCAGTCTGCAACCCATGATTGCCGTAAAATGCGACTAACAGGATCGGGAGGTCAGGCTCGCTGACTTGGTTGATGTATGTCATCGATCCCAGTTGCATTGATCGATGCTCATGATATCAATCACCGGTTTGTCTGGTCAAGACTCCATTATTTACAGACAGCCATCATATAGCTGGAATATTGCTCAGTGCTGCGTTAAACAACAAACCAACCAAACCACACTGGATCACCAGTCTGCAACACGGGAATTTGAGAAATAAAGACGTCTGTTATCTAACAGAGCTCAGATAAGCTGCATTTTTTGCCTAAAACGCCTAAAAATGTATCAAAATTGTCGAAATAATTTTGACTTGCTTGCGTACAAATACAGTAAAATTCGGTTATAACGAACTCAAAGGGATCACTAATTTTAATTCGTTATAACCGCAGTTCGTTATAAGCATATATGCTTTATAGTGACAAGTTTTTTTTGTTCTAAACTTCCAATTTCTAAAGTTACGTGGAGAGGGTGGACTCCCATATAACCACAATCACAATCCATCAACATTGCCCAAATAATACAAATACACATGAAAAGAAATTAAAACCACAACTGTATAACATTCTGTGTTTCACCCAATGTGAAATGTAGCGTACTATCAAATGTAACATCTCTTACCTAATCTTTATGTACAAGTCGAATGCAGGCATCACACAAACATAAACTCTACTACAGTGTAGTATGCATTGTGAGTTCATGAGACATTTTATACACTTGGGTCAGTACACGAACAGATTCATATTAGAAGTCACCTGAACTGCATTTTAAGCGGAATTATCCCTCTCTCACAGGGCAGATCAGTCATAGTGAAGGTCAATATACTAGCATAGGTCATGTAGGTCGCGAACACCTGGTTTCAGTGACACATTATAACTGCCCCCAGCCCTTCCGTCTCCCAATGTGTTGAAGAAAACCCGAACATATTTCATGATTCAGCAGACATAATTCAAAATTGTCATATCGTTTTTAGTTTCAGCAAAATCAGTAAATGCGCTATCCTGTCACCGGGTATTCTGATCCATCACCTGATTGTCTGGTTTGTTTACAGGCCGCCGTTGTATGCCAGGAGTACTGTTTCACCGCGTCAGACAACAATTACTTTTTTATGTAAATTGTGTGAGTGGCGGGTGAGTGACATGCTTACCTTTTTCGCGAACACCTGGTGTCATGATTTAAGTGATCCATTCATATTATTTTCACCGCTATTTTACTTTTTAAGCCCAATGGAATCTGTTACGGCAGATAATCTAGATAGATTATCCTTTGGCGTTGACGTTTTATACTAACTTGAAGTTGGTCGATGTTTCTGCTGGTCGGTTGAAGTGCCCGAGTTTCAACATAAGCTCTGTAGCATTTAGCAGTTGTGCTGCGTCAAGTACAATAGACTACTATATATTTTACTTTTGTATTATTGGACATAGAAGTAAACCTTCTTTTAATTATGTTAAGTTATAATACTATTATATGTCAAAAGAGAGATACTGTCAATATCTTTTAAGTTGGATATATATGTTTTATACATGGTAAGAGTTATGTCCCTTGCATTCTTTGCTTTGTGTCATAACTATATAAAATGGAATCTGATAACATGTTGCCTGCCTCATTGTTTGCAATTATACCATGACAGTTTGTGTTTTTCAGATTCGTCGTTATGTTGCTCCAATATTGCAGACTGCCACAAGAGAACGTTTAGTCACCCATTCCATGGGCGGATACAGCTTTTTTGAAAAGATGTAAGATATAAGATATATTTATTGTCTTTGGTGGTAATTTATACAGAAATAAATATTTTTTTCGAAATAAAAATGGGTGCACCCCCACCACCCCACTCCCCCACCCCCCCCCACCCCCTCTGTATCCGCCCATGCATTCACTCATTCCCGGAGATACTTACACGAAACCAGTCTAGGTTGACATGTCAGTCCAACAATGTGTACAGCGCTTCCATAGTCTGAAAGGTGGGAACTATCTTTACACATTAAGGTATTGGCTACTTTGATTGGGTAAAAGTTTGGAGATCAACAACTTAATAATAAACAACATTACATAGACAGTGACAGATTGGGGCGCAATATCTCGCATGGACACAAAATCCTTAGATTGTCTCACAAGTTTATTTAAAAGATATTTTTATGGCATTGACAGACCATTTTAGTAAATGAACCCCTGCAAGGGCGACACCACCTTACAATAATCATAAATCTCTGCTAAAAGAACATGCCATTGTATGATTCAGATTCCGATTTATTATCATGGTATGAATATACATAAACGGAAAAAAGTAACCGTTACATATGCATCTTTCAATACAAAGACATCTCCTCGACTTTAATGTCGAAATTCACAATTCATTCACGGCGCACACTTTGAATGTTTGCGTGTTTGTCGGGAGCATGATACTCACACACGTTGTTTGATTGTCAAAAGCACACAATAATTGTCTATCTATCAGGTGCTCATAAACAAAACACTATGTGCCGTGGGTATGCTGCAAACAGGGACGGCGCAAAACAAAGTTGTCAGACACTTTCATGTTCATCGAAACACAATATCATCTATGACATGGCAACACTCGAAACGTACCACGGGCCGGTTGGAAATGTGTGACGTCATGTCAACAAGCCAACCGTATTCGGTTGGTGCATGTACGGAATCGATACCAAACTGCTACATAAACAGCTCGGACAAGTCCTAGGTTGAGACCAATTAGTGGCAAAACCACACACAACCGGTTGAGGAAGCATAATATCTGACCACAACGTTCAGCGATACCCCAAATGTTGCCTCCAAATCACCGTCAGTCACGTTTAGTTTGGTGTTGACAGCATATACGGTTCAGAAGACAGGACTGAGTTGTCAGCGCGGAAGGTCGTGTAAGGGCCAACAGGCACCGAGAAGAACGTTTACTGTGCTAGCGTTACTCAACATCGTCAGTATGGGTTTGGAGGTGTCATTGTATGGGGTGGCATCACAACTCAACTGAGAACACAACTCATCATTGTTAATGGTAATTTGAATGGCATGCGCTAGCGGGACGACATCGTTTGAGATTATGTTCTACCCTTTGTGCAAATCCAGGGACGTAACGTCACGTTACAGCAGGATCAATCCGACCTCATGTTGCAAGTGTTGGAACAACTATTTTGAGGCAGCATTACATTGCTGTACTGTCATGGCATGGTGTTTCTCCATACCTCTTCCCAAAGGAATATGCCTGGGTTGAGATGGAACGACACTTACAACAGTAACAGAACCAGACGGTAACGATATAGCTAAGTTGGGCCAAGCTTTGCTTGCCATTTTGAACAACAACCCCCTGGCTGTTTTCAATCATTTCGTGTCTTCAATGCGCACCTGCTGCATCACCTGCATCAAATGGTGGTCCAATATTGACATTGTAAATTAAGTTGTTATGCCACCCCTATTTTAGGACGTGTCGCTATGTTTCCGGTTACCAGGTATGGGTTTTGTCAACGAATTTGTTAGAATAAAACATTGATCAAACGAATGACTAAATAGTGGGTTGTTATTTGCAAAAACATAACATTTACACAACTTTATGTGAAGTGACCGCCTCCGTGGGCTAGTAATAGAGCGTCCGCGTCATTCGAAAAGACGGTAAAAGATGGCACCTGTTGTTACCCTGCCTGGCACTCGGCATTAAGGGGCTTGAACAAGGACTGGTTGGCTCGGAATCATTTTACCATGTCAGAGTAGGGTACTCATGTTAAACTGAGGCATGGTATCTGAGTGAGCTAGCACTATAAAATCGGCGTTATTTAAGTGCAATAAACATGAATGCGACGTTAAACCTCATTTTCCATCACATTTTATGAAGCACGGCTAATTTCAGAAACAATTTCAGTATTGAAACAAAACTACACGTGAAAGATAAACTCCTTCGATGTTGGGACAATGCTCCTTGTCAGCAGTTGTATTACAGAAGTCCAGCATAATAGCATCATCGATCTGTGTATACAGTGCATGTTGAAAACTTCAATAAGAACAGAACAGTAGAGATATGTCTGTAAGCATTGTCACCTAACAGTACAAACCTTTTTCCAGAGTATCGTTCTTTGCTTTCAGTTCTGTGTTTTACAGGATGTCATAAAATCCTTGGTTGTACAGAAATCAACCAAGAACTGACAGTGACACTATTCAGGCAGCTGCTCACGAGTTCAATGGAGGATGACATTCCTTCAGTACTGAGACATAATCCAAATGACAAACTTAATCATCAACATTTTGAGATCCCGAAAGAGAAAAAAGGCGTAGTACAATTACACAAAGGGGATCAACGCATGAACAAGATCATGATATTTCCGTCCAAGCATTGAATTAATACTTTAAAAATTCACTTTGCTAAAGAACAGCTTGCAGACCTGTAAACTACCCCACACCCAGATCGTACCTATCTCTAAGCATATACATAACCATATACCATATACATGTATATCAAATCACAATACATTCAATTCAGTAAACATTGCTATGAATATGTATATTTCAAAGTATCTCCCAATATATAGGTTTCAAATATCAGTAGAACATACTGATAATAATGATTTAATGCATAAATGTTATGATGAGCATGTTGAGCACATATGAACTACACAAAGATAAAATACAGACACACACACCTGTCTGTCTGTCTATCTTTCTATACACGTGTGTGTGTGTGTGCGTGTGCGTGCGTGCGTGCGTGCGTGCGTGTGTGTGAATTTCATAAATTATTTAAGCTTAATCAGGTCAGTGCATGGGAAGCGGGAATACATACGCAGATTTTATGTTCGCTTCTTTTCGTGCTCATTTAAACGACAAAGACATTCATGGAGTGGCTGTGTGTGGGCTATGTTGTTATCCTAGGTACATGTTGGTAGTCAGGTCCATGCTAGATTAGATATCTATTTTTCTATTGATATTGGTCCCTGCTATTTACCTTCAATGCAATTGCAGCCAGGTGGTTTTCTGTCAGTCGTCCCTGTTGGTATTGCCTCAGCTGGTGAATCAGAACGGGAGCTCTTGTGTGTCCTTTAGATTCCTGTTCTGATAATTACCAAAAGAGAAAAGAAACTTCATGAAATATTTTGTGACTTATATGTATGAAACTTATAAAACTGTCAAATGTTCGCTGGGTAGTTGGCAATTTCCTAGATGTATGGGGATCACTACAAAAGAGTTTGCTGCAGATTGTACCTCATTGGCAAATGCATTGCATAGCTTTATTTTGATGCTGATTGGGGAACTAAATATATCAACTGCTTCAAGTTGTGTTTTACCTTTATTGTGGCCTCGACCATCACTCGTGTTGTCAGATTGTGACGTTATGGAACCAGACAGCTGTAAGTAAAGATACATGTTTCATGTGTAGACAGTCATTCATCTGGTTGCCAAACGTAACTGATATGTCACTGGATGTTTTGTGGTTCAGCTTGTATAGTCCTCTCTCTCTCTCTCTCATTCTCTCTCTCATTCTCTCCCTCTCTCTCTATGTGAATAGTGTGGATTTCCTCCAACTCAAGCATGAAAAACAAATAATTATTTGTTTATTTGAGACTGACATCACGTAAGAAAAAGTTAAATGCTTAAATAAATGTAAAGTTTATACAGAGAAGTTTCATTTGGAGGTGAACATGTCTGGAAAATAATTTTATTTCATGTTCTCATGACGATATAAGCTATCTTTATCTGTTAACTACAATTTTAAAAATACAAGCATTATTTCATTTTCAGATTGTGTTTTCCATAAATTGGAAATGATCTGTAAAGTAAAATGTAAAACTAATGTTAAAATTTGTAGATATCCCAATCCATAGCTAAACGGTTATACTCACAACATCAAAACCTGGTACCTCTATGTCTAACACAGATAAGACCGTCGTGTGTCGAGTCAGGTACTCCATTGTTGCCTGCCACTCCACTGGTGAAAAACGATATATAGAGTAGATAAACCTATCATTGAGCAGTACATTATCAACAATTATTAGTAATTAATTATCATTTAACTTGGTAGTAGCAGTAGTAGCAGCAGCAGCAGCAGTAGTAGTAGTAGTAGTCGTGGTGGTAGAAATTTCGTCACATGCGGAACATTCAGTTAAGTGAATACGTTTCCAGAACCTGATTACATACCCGTGTATAATTTGTGGAGTTTTTCTTTTCTATGATCCCTGTCCTGAAACAACAAAAAACTTGATAAGACACACTATATCTATCTACTCGTGCGTGTAACCATTAAATATGTTTGTAATTGTCCATCGTTCATTCCAGTATTCACCATTGTTATTTTTTAAAATCTATGATGAATGTTATGATAAATATGATTATATGAAAAGGTACCTTCAGTAGGTTGTCCAGATCGTGATTAAGCTTGTCGATTTCTCCCCAGCCTGCAAACAAACAAACAAACAAATCGAAAATTAATATATCAACCACTCACGTGGTGACCTTTTCAATACGTGAATGACTTTATGTTCTGTATTGAAAATTGAAGACACATATAAAGGGAATCATTGTAAGGGAGCAATACGGCAGCGATGCCTTTTATCTGGGTAAAGTAACTGAGGACCCTCAGCTGCAGGTACTTACGGCTTTCAAGATCTTTTCCATCTGTGTCCTGTGGCTCTATTTCCAATTCGGTTGTCTGGATACCTTCCTTCCGTACTGGCTGAAATACAAACAGTCATGTAATCTATGATTACTTAAGATATAACATTGGTTGAAAAGGAAGTTTGATATGTTTCTATAATCCAGATCTTGGCAGATTGCAGTTGAAGATAATATGCACCTTTCCTAAATATGTTCGTAATATGCGACAGTGAAAATATAACATAAATCATAAGATTAAGATAATCAGTCTAGGAACGTGAGATTCTTGTAAGTTACACACTTGAATGTCGGATTCTCTTCCTTCCTTCCCTGACTCAAAGTGAAGCCTCTCTGCAACAAGCAAAAACAAAAATGTTTTCACATTTTCAGTGTTAGAGAGACAATTGAGTAGCAGCAACATGCTGTCATTGTAATTTCGATCAATACATATTGCATCGATAAATACACAATAATAATAAACAGAAATAATATGTTGAAACTTACCCATTTGTTGCTCAATTCCTGGACTTTCGACATGTCCATCCTGAAAAGTAATAAAACGTTAACTTCCTTGATCTTGAAGGAACCAATGTATTCCATTTAACAGCCAACTTTTAGCAAACCATCTCAGCAAAAACTTCTTTAAATCTTAAGATGATGTTGGCACATTGTGGTCTGAATTTTTGTATTTTAATCTATTATTAGAAGAACATTTTCGGGGATTATAGATATGTATGTCACACCTTACCATCGTAAAATTGTGTTTCCATTCTGTGTATTCTTTTTTACCCAAAGCTGAAAGATTGAAACTACAATTAGAACGTACAGTCATCATTCAACTGTTGTATTATACATGTCTTGGAAATATATCCATTTATGTACTCTCATTTTACTCACATGTTATATACCAGTTGAACCACTGTAAAGGCAAATGTCCCACTGGTACAACATGTGTCAGTGTAAGAGTGTATAACGAGAGACAGATGGGAGAATGGCAAGATGAAGGACACGCAGGAGGAAGATGCAATGGCTCCAGAATGAGAGATGGAATAACTGGTGAAGCACAGATGGAAGAATTGGGGATTTGGGGTAGTAGTGGTAGAAGAAAGGAAAGAGAGAAGAACATGATCGATAACAGTTCAAATACAGAAATATGACATGTGATATATGTTATGTGGAGTTTAGACAGCAGAACAATGATATAAGAAACGATATGCTCCAGGGAGGAATGGCCAAATTGACAAGGGACTAGGGGGCAAGTAGGATGCGTGGTATACAGGACCAATTAGATGACTGGGGTGAAGTACGGTCAAGAGAAGGTGGTCTGGAGGAAGGACATGGGGAAGGCTTGGCGGAGTACATTGGAATGAAGGACAATATGAGTGGAGGAGGGAACGTGTTATGACATGTATTACTTAGTTGGCTACATTATGTTCCGAGGACATAACCATCAGTCTTATTATCTACACTACATACCATTCCTCAAGTGGGCCATTTTAACCTCGTGATACATTTGAAGCGTTTTATCTTTGATCATGACCTGAAATAAAATATATAGACAATGTGATTTTCATTATCATATCTTATTTGTTAGTCATTATTTTGCTTGCGATTCATACCCTAGATCTCTGTAATTTCAATTCTTACCGATCTTAGAAGAGGAAACATATTCTTCCTTAGTCTCATTCCCTCATGTAGGTCTGACAACTGAGCCTTGTGTGGGGCAGAGAGTTGCCCGAAGCCGCCCAAGGCTGAAATGAATAAGAAGATTTAGGTGAAGGAATATCTTTTACATCTGAAATATTTGTTCTGAATGTCATCACATCCCCCAGTAAACATCACCCCAAGCAGTTTTATAGAGAGACATCCATAATAGCTCTATACTGCATTAAGTAGCAATGAACCAAATCAACCATTTATATAACGAAATCTATAAATCGATAATTATTCTCTTTAATAATCAACATTAAACTTTGGGTTTCCTCATGTAATTTCACTGAAGGGTGAATCATTCAATCTCTTGGGACCAGGACTTTTGTTTTAGCCAAGTCAATGGATATGTCAGTCTTTCAAAACATGCATTGTTTACGTGGGCGTTTAAGGATGGAAGTACTGAAATGCATAGTGACCCTTGCTTGTTGTAAGCCAAAGTGGCTTGACCTCCAGACTATGGCGTAGCGGACGAACCTGCAAATAAACAAAGGTAACAAAGTGGCATTAATACAGTTACTATTGGTGTATATTATAAGATGTGAATATCTTTGTTTTAAGGGTGTGTAATCACAGTGTTTTCTGCTATGTATCCATGTATATATGTATCTATGTAGCTGTGTATGTACGTATGTATGTATGTATGTATGTATGTATGTATGTATGTATGTATGTATGTATGTATGTATCCATCCACCCATCAATCCATCCATCAACTTACAGATATACGCCATGTTTGTTCCAGTTTGTAACTAAATATTTTCAGCACACTGAAATCCCTGAGGAGATATTCAATCTGTTTCTTCCAAGCATCTGAAATGTTTTTGAAAAAAAGCAAAATTACTTACACCCTAAAGCATATATAATAGGTACCAACTATGAAGCTGAGAGTCGTATCATGAAGGTTGTTTGCGTTGTTATTTGCACATCTCTCGAGACGTTATTTACTCTATCTTAATCATCATCATCATCACGAAATAGCTTTATTCTATTTCACTTCATTATTTATCGTGACTTTGTAATAAACATTTACCATCAGACAAAACATCTATTTGTTTCTCCATCCCTTCTGTTTCCTGCAAACATAAAATGAAAACTTTGTTAATAATAAGCAACTCTGGAACAAACGGCTTCGAGGGAACCAGTAATGGCTATTCAATGAATATATTTTTATCCCTGTAAAACGGTTTGTCATGGGTAGGTTTGTGGAAATATACAAACACCATATGGAGGTAGGGTATTGATAAGACTGACTGGTATTAATAGCAGCTAGTTGTTATTTAAGTGTTCACATTAAATGTTGTAGTCTCATTGGTTATGAGTGTTCGGCAATCCTGCCCAGGAAACAAACTCCCCACGGAAATGACGACTCAAAATATATTTGAAGAAAATACCTGTCTCAATCGAAACACTCACACCTCTAAACCCTGCCATGATATGGTTAGTGTTACAACATACATTACCCTTTCTGCCTCGCATATTTTGGACTTCAGTTCCTTAATATCAGTTACATCTGAAATGAACAACATGCAAGTCGTCAACAAAATATTAGCTGTTAACTGCACACAGAATGAGTTTTTGTATCAACAGTACTTAAGAAATGCTGTGGGGTTTTGTTTCTTTTTTCTCTCTTCCTTTCACCAAATTTGTCAGATTAAAAATAACATTCATGATCTAACAGGGAAGTATATGTATAAACGACAAAGAGTCTGGTTTTGACTATAGAGTGCTGAATTTATTGTCATATGTAAATACACTTACAGGTTCCAAATCGCCACTTCCGACTGCTTGCGTGTGTCATGACTGTGTTGGTTTCATCCACGATATTCACACAGGAGGACAGGTCAACCGTACTGAGATCCTCTGCTGCTACAGCTGATGGGTACACCGACCTGGAAACAGGTTTTTACAAAACTGAACTCATATCAAGTAATGGTTTCAAACAATCATTAAGGCTTTAAGTTAAGGCTTCTTTCTGCAGACTTATTCAAGAAAGGAATTGGATTGTTTGATGCTTTATGTTGTTACCGGACTTGATACGACTACTAATGCTACTGATGGCGCCAACCAATAAGTACGCCGACTGCATACAATCTACATTTGCTATAACTTAATACAAACCTGAGTCTGTCCCTCTCCTCCCGTGACCTACACACCAGCAGAGTGTCCCCCTGTCGGTTCAGTCTCCTGGCCACCTCCAGCATCAACGTCGTGGCTCCACTTCCGGGCACACACTTCACCTGGACATCCTTATCGTTTATGTTCTCCACCAGAATGATACATTGTTCTTTGGTAAGAAATCTCAGACAATCTCCATCAGTCTCACCAGTTTCTTTGAGCACCGACTTCGTTTCAGCAACACCAGCCCAGAAAGCAGTGAGCACCTGCTTATATCTGCTAGGTGTCATTACCAAAGAATCTCTTGTGACAAAATGTGAAGAATCATTTGCCAACCTTTTCAGTCGAGTCTCAAATGAGGCAGCGTCCTCGAGGATTGACGTATGAATGACTCCATGTATGGAGTTGACATCTTCATCCGTGAATCTGCTGAGTGTCTCTACCACTCCTCTGGCCACTGATGTATTGTACATCACTGTCTCAGGAGACTCTGCATCTCCATCAACCAGTGACAAAACTATCACAGGTTGTCTAGGTAGTGCCAGGAATACATCACACACTGTGAGGCTTGGACGGGGTGATGTGGGGAAATCTAGTACTTCTGATAAGGAATGGGCTAAGAACATAAAGCATGGTCCAGCCCTTGGGTTGGGAAAGTCTACCACTTCACTGGTCAGAGGATCAAATACAAAGTCGAACGCATGATTTTCTATGTGTTCAATGAGTCGTTCTTTCACTTGTGCTAAAGGGGTTCTTAGGTCCTTTGGCACGATATTCTGACCATCTGAAAATATACAAATATACAGTTCTTTGAAAGCTTGTCCACTGCACGTAGAATGCCAATTATGTGACACATTATGTTGATAAAGGCCGATGATACAGAAGATCTAAATATAGTTACATTATGTATAATTTTATTCATAGATCAAATAAACCGAATAACTGACCTGATGTATTTGTGTATGTTAAGGGCACTATTAAAAGTTTTAAGGGGCAAAGCGTTTTGGTGTCTTTCGAAGATTTGACTAAAATGTATCTATAAATAACCTCAACATACTCAACATGTCCTGGCTATAAAATATATGCTTTGTTTAAATTTATTGAAGGCACTCAGTAAAATGATTACGTTTGTTATCTTTTTGAATGAAGTAACTTCTTATTTCATAGAGACTGTCTCCAATCTGTTTCAGGTCAGGACGAAATAAGTCGTTTGTCCCCAGATATAGACCATGCTCATCCTCCTTTGCGATATTTTGCTGGAACATGAAATGAAACGTGAAGCTTGCACTGATAATGTGAAATGAAACTGGTACAGCTTTATCGATCATTGATGACTGTGGCATAAAAAACTCTTTAGGGAAACATCTTGTGATTGTCCCCTGTTTACAGATAAAATAATGTTAATCTTGACAACTGTATAGAATGATAGTAAATATCAATAATATTTCCCCGATCTTGTAAAGATGTTTTCTTAAATGTTGTAACAAATATATATGCACTTACTAGTAGCTTCCACATGCTGCCTGAAATGAGTAAACATCGAGACATTAAGAATATGATAAAAAAACATTTCCATCGACAAGTATTACAATATATTCTCGCTTAACTGAACACTAGTAGAGCATAAGAATATTTTGTTTTATGAAAGGATGGATTTGTAATCAGCCTGTGGAAAATTATGCTACAATATTTTGGCAAGGCAGATCAAGGAAAAGAACATAACAGTAGATTTACCTTTATGAGCATCCTTATTGCATTTAGCAAACTTTAAAAGAAACGGATATATCATTAGAATTCAATCATTTAACGAATCTACCTATGATCGTCGAACTTTGGTGCTGTGTGATGTAATTTCCCTTATGTCGCAAAGCTTTTCGATAAAATACAAAATTGATTCACACAGTGTACACATTAAATTATCACTTCCTTTATTACTTTTGAAAGTTACACGAGTTCGCGCAAAGTTGCGACTCTTATGCGTGCCTACAATTTGTCATCGTGCGTCCGAATCCAAGATTAGCCCTTATTCTATTTCTTGTTGTGTTAGCACTATACTCATTCTCGCGGGTTTCACTAAAACCTTCCTCCCACATCAAGCGTATATGCCACAATATTATTTAAATTATGTTTAAAGAGGCAACTCACTCACTCACTGAGCATACAGAGGCTTAGTGTAAGTTCCCGAATATTAATGTTTCCTGAATAATATTCAATATAATCATCATCATCATCAGGAAATAGCTTTATTCTATTTAACTTCATTATTTATCGTGTTTTTGTAATAAACATTTACCATCAGACAAAACATCTATTTGTTTCTTCATCCCTTCTTTTTCCTGTAAACATAAAATGAAAACTTTGTTAATAATCAGCAACTCTGGAACAAACGGCTTCGAGGGAACCAGTTATGGCTATTCAATGAATATATTCTTATCCCTGTAAAACGGTTTGTCATGGGTAGGTTTGTGGAATTATACAAACACCATATGGAGTAGGGTATTGATACGACTGACTGGTATTAGTAGCAGCTAGTTGTTATTTAAGTGTTCACTGCATAAGAGAAGGCTATATAGAGTGGACGTGGAAGCTCTCACATAACATGTTGTAGTCTCATTGGTTATGAGTGTTTGGCAGTCCTGCCAAGGAAACAAACTCATGAGATGCATTTGTTCATGTCATCCCTACAGAAATGACGACTCAAAATATCTATGAAGAAGAGTACCTGTCTCAATCGAAACATTCACACCTCTAAACCCTGCCATGATACGGTTAGTGTTACAACATACATTACCCTTTCTGCCTCACATATTTGGGCAAATCGCCAATTCCGACTGCTTGCGTGTGTCATGACTGTGTTAGTTTCATCCACGATATTCACACAGGAGGACAGGTCAACCGTACTGAGATCCTCTGCTGCTACAGCTGATGGGTACACCGACCTGGAAACAGGTTTTTACAAAACTGAACTCATATCATGTGATGGTTTCAAACAACCATTTAAGGCTTTAAGTTAAGGCTTCTTCCTGCAGACTCATTTATACGAAAGTAATTCTATTGTTTGATGCTTTATGGCGTTACCTAATTTAATACGACTACTAATGCTACTGATGGCGCCAACCAATAAGTACGCCGACTGCATACAATCTACATTTGCTATAACTTAATACAAACCTGAGTCTGTCCCTCTCCTCCCGTGACCTACACACCAGCAGAGTGTCCCCCTGTCGGTTCAGTCTCCTGGCCACCTCCAGCATCAACGTCGTCGCTCCACTTCCGGGCAAACACTTCACCTGGACATCCTTATCGTTTATGTTCTCCACCAGAATGATACATTGTTCTTTGGTGAGAAATCTCAGACAATCACCATCAGTGTCACCAGTATCTTTAAGCACCGACTTTGTTTCAGCAACACCAGCCCAGAAAGCAGTAAGGACTTTCTCATATCTGCCAGGTGTCATTACCAAAGAATCTCTTGTGACAAAATGTGAAGAATCATTTGCCAACCTTTTCAGTTGAGTCTCAAATGAGGCAGCGTCCTCGAGGATTGACGTATGAATGACTCCATGTATGGAGTTGACATCTTCATCCGTGAATCTGCTGAGTGTCTCTATCACTCCTCTGGCCACTGATGTATTGTACATCACTGCTTCAGGAGACTCTGCATCTCCATCAACCAGTGACAAAACTATCACAGGTTGTGTAGGTAGTGCCAGGAATACATCACACACTGTGTGGCTTGGACGGGGTGATGTGGGGAAATCTAGCACTACTGATAAGGAATGGGCTAAGAACATAAAGCATGGTCCAGCCTTTGGGTTGGGATAGTCTACCACTTCACTGGTCAGAGGATCAAATACAAAGTCGAACGCGTGATTTTCTACGTGTTCAATGAGTCGTTTTTTCACTTGTTCCAAAGAGGTTGTTAGTTTTGTTGGCGCAATACCCTGACCATCTAGAAATATACAAATATACAGTTCTTGAAAGCACGCTATTACATGAAGAATGGTCATATGCCAATTCTGTGACACCGCTAATTAACGAGTATCATATAACAGATTTTTATTTGCAGACTGTGATTATCATGTGGACGGATGAGTAATTCTTTCCTACACATTATATTGTTAAAAGACTACAACACAACAGATCTAAATATGGTTACAAAATGTTCTATTCACTACATAGATCAAATTAACCAAATAAGTTAGCCCATATATATGTGTGTTTGGAGAGCACTGTTAAACGTTTCAAGGGGTAACACGTTTTGGTGTCTTTCGAAGATTTTAATAAAATGTGTATGAAAATAGCCTCACCAAACTCAACAGGAGGAAGTCCATGCTATAAAATATATGCTTTGTTGAAATTATTGAAGGCAGTCCGTAAAATGATTACGTTTATTACCTTTTTGAATGAAGTAACTTCTTATTTCATAGAGACTGTTTCCAATCTGTTTTAGGCCCGGACGAAAGAAGTCGTTTGTCCCCAGGTATAGACCATGCTCATCATCCTTTGCGATATTTTGCTGGAACATGAAATGAAACATGAAGTTTATACTGACATGACAATGTTAAATGAAACTGAAACAACTTTATTATTGATGACTGTGGCGTTAAACAATGTTCAACTCTTTAAGGAACATAACTAGTTTTGTGATTGTCGCCTATTTATAGATATAAATGGTATTTAATCTTGGCAGCTGTACAGAAAGATAGTAAATAGCAATAATTATTTTCCGTACATGCATATATGTTTTCTTAAATGTTGTAACAAATATATGTGCACTTACTAGTAGCCTCCACATCCTGCCTGCAATGATTAAAAATTGAGTAAAAATCAAGAATAGTTTAAAAACATCTCCATCGACAAGAAATGCATACATTCTGGGAATAGAAGGCAAGTATAGATTTGTTATCAGTCTGTGTATTAGGGCACACACTCCCAGAGTGTGGCACCTAATCGCCAGCTCACAAAGTCAGCCATCGAGGCAAAATGAACGTTCCACAATTGGTAGTCTAGATCAGGTACTTTGTGTATCCCTCTGACACGTGTAAATTGGCATGGCTGTCATGGCTGAAAGCTATGAATACACAATGCCATTCATACAATATGATATAATTGAAATTATGTTGAAAGTGGCGTTAAACTCACTGTCTCATTTATCATGCAGAGGAATCTTGTATGTTCTGTTATATTAATGTTTCTGACTAATATTCCACAGTTATCAATGCCTTAATATTCTGACAGTTAAACATATGTGATGATTCATTTTTCCATAAAACATTAGTTTCCATAATCGTCTATTCTATGCTTGAACCTAAAGTTTAGAATAACCCCGATTTGAAACTAAATCCACATCTTACATAACAAACAGGTCAAATGCTTGTTACCCTTCGAGTGAGTGAGTGAGTGAGTGAGTGAGTGAGTGAGTTGGGTTTAAAGCCGCTTTAAACAGTATTCCAGTTAAATCACGGCGTGTCAGCTTAATGTGGGAGGAAAAATGATGCAGGTCCCAGACGTTTACCACTTCGGTGAAACCCACGAGCACCGGTATGGTGCTGACAAACCTAGAAACATAATCGGGGCGAACCAGGATTCGAATCCACAATCATAGGTTCCTGGAGTGCCCAAGGGACGCAACTCTGCAAAGCGAATCGCGGCGCCTTAGACGACTGGGCCACCCGTGCCCCCTGTTACCCTTCGAAGTCAAATATCTTTATATATAACAGTGCTTTGAGGTGAGGTGAAATTGGGTTTAACGTCGCGTCCAAGATTATTGCACTTATATAGCGACGTGCATGCACGTGCATGTCTGTGTGTGGCTGCTTGTCCTAGTCCGGACTGATGCCGATTTATAGTGCTAGCTCACTGAGATACCATGCCGCAGTTTAACATGAATACCCCACTCAGACACAGTATACTGACTCCGAGCCGACCAGTCCTTGTTTTAGCCCCTTAATGCCGAGCGCCAGACAGGGTAACAACAAGTACAATCTTTTAACGTCTTTTTGAATGACGCGGCCCGGGATCGAACCCTGGACCTTCCGCTCTCCGGGCGGACGCTCTACCACAAGACCACGGAGGCGGTCAAACAGTGCTTTGAGTAATGTCAGCCGACATACATAACAGCTTAAACTTATATTTTACTCACTACTCCAGATATGAACTGTCCTTGGCAAATGGGTTGTACGCTTGAAATGAGTGATAAAGTGTTTTGTCTTTACGAGCAAATCCTCTTTGCGTGCACGCATGCACACACAGAGCAGTAAGTAAGACTCTTTTTTTCTAGTGTGTTCTGTGTATTTTTGAAACTGCTATAGTAGTGATTGGACGTTCAATTCATTGCAATTCACAAGCGTGATAAATGCTTATGCACAACATATACATGAAATTTGTTTGTAAAACACTGAAATATGTATCACTTCTTCTGATTAGTTCCCCTTTCTAAGGGTTGTTAGATTCACCATGAACAATTACTTTGGTCTGGAGGATAGTGTAGAGATAGTAATTGAATATATTTTGTCATATTATGTGGTTTCGTCTGACATATACAATTCTGTAGGTACAATATATGTTGTGTCAAATAATAATTACAGTTAATATATCACGATACGAGAAGAAGAAATCATTTAATAAGATTTAATTATATTTTTGGCCAAGTAACGTCAAGGTTATGTTCCAAATTTGTACACAAAATTGAAGTCTCAGCCGTAATCAAGCCTATGGGGAAGGTTACCGGTAAAGGAACCACGTGGTCGGTATTGAGTTAAGAGTGGATTTCTAATCTACAATGTCATCCCTCCAAAATTAAAAAAAATGAAGTGGATAGCTTCGAAACTGACGGTGTAAGTGTTTTCTTTTTACCACAAAACAATGATTATGAGGAAGCTACCGTGTGTTCATCTGCATATATCTTGTTATTAGCAAAGGTATAACCTTGCTAAATCAAAAAAAAAGAATAACATTGCTTAGACAGCGCGCGTTATGGTCTTTATACCCAAGACGGCCAGTATTGTATTCAACGTAATCAATTCCCAATAATTTTTATTACACCCGCAGTTGTGCCATGGACTGAACAACTTGAATCCCTCGAAAACGGTGTGTGTTCGAATTTTGTTAATTATATAATTCAATAATGTAAATAAAATGGATGCATTTAATAGGAGTATGCAATTAAAAGGAGTAACAGTTTATCATGTTTTATCATATATTATCAAGCTCACTTTAAGAAACTGGGCTACCACCCACGCTCCCATTATCCGTCGTCACTCATGAATACCACCCAAACTCTCATCAACAATAGTGTATTCGCAAAACCTAAACAAGCAGGTACTTATTTAATGTTTCTGGTTAATTATACATGACTTTATCGTTTGAGAGATACATAGATAACTTTGATATAATTATGAAAACAAACTTCTTTCACATAACAAACATTTATCATTGACAGAAACCGCAGGTATCAGGTATCAATATTGTGTTAGTTTAAAAGTTCATTGAAGAGGAACTTTCTATACGACAAATCAGTATTGTTTTATATTGCCATGGATTGAAATGGACCCATTTGTCGTAATACGCACGTTATATTAAGCTGAACGTTTATTATAAAACAAACCCATAATTGTCATTATTTTGGACAATAATTGAGTTGTCATACATTCCCTTTCTTAACATACAAACACAAAAATATTGTTTTCTATATTCATTGTCGTCAACATATTGTATTATTCATGTTAAAATGTTGAGTCCCATGAACCTCCACCGGATGCTCGGTCAGAGCATACTGAATGTCGGGCAGAAAGAAACAGATCGCGATCGCCGTTATGTTATAAGGAATGATGAAAGGTGCCCGATGAAGCGAACGTAAAATATTGCTTTCCCTGCGTGTTCTGCAGCGTCTCTGTGCTCACTTTATGCTGCATGTATGTGCTTCCGTACCTTTATGATACCTCATAACAATTTCAATTTTAAAGGCTTTAATGGACATATTTCTTCATTATTACAGTCCATACGTAACAATTAAGTCTTTTTACAATCACATAAGAAAATCATGCAGTTTTGTGCATACTCTTTATTTTAGCTGAGTACTCCTAAACGGTGATCGACCATGTGGTCCCTTTACCGGAAGCCTTCCCCATTTATTGTATTAGATATGAATTTTAGATGACACAAGTAACTTACCGTCTTTTTGTGTATTATATCAGTTCACTCTGGTGTTTCCCTTCGTCTTGTAAGAGCACGTACCCAATCCTTGATATTTATCCGTGTGATCAGTTTGAATTGTTTGTCATATCGATATGCAAGTGGTCCTTGTTTGTCATAGAACACTATCCCGCTCACTGGTCTGACTGAAACATGAACAACTACTGCGTCTGCATCACTGTGCCCATGATTTACAGATTCACAGTTTTCTCTCAGATAAACTTCTTCCTCTGCTGGTGTGCAAGGAATAAAGTGAACTTGGAATATAATCTCATCTTTGACAGATACTTCGTTTCCATCATAGTCACAGACGAGAACAGTATTCCCAATGTTATCCTCTAACGTGTCCTTGAATGCAGTTCTGTCCCTCAGAACAACGTGCTGGATGCGGATTACTTTAGTTTCATAACCATATCCCTCCAGAAAACAATTTTCCTCATGGACACCATAGAGATAAGAACCACCACATTCAGTTTTAGTAAATGCGCTTATGTATTCTGCAAGTTTGAGATTCTTGATAATATACTCTGCCAATGCTTGATCCCCTTCCTTTTGTTCAAAGTTACTTTTCAATTGAAGTGATCTGTTTTCACGAACATTCAGAAGATCATCTGCATGAGTCACACCAGGAATTTTATGGAATGTTTCTTTGAAGGTTTTCCTTTCTCTAACAAAGGTCCTGAGCGTTTCTGCAGGAATGTCAATAATGCAGTCATCAAATGTTGTCTTGGTATTGAATCTAGAAGTTGTCACAGTAGAAGCAGCTCCTACATAGAGAACAAGGAAGTCGCCAAAATCCCTACAAGCACAATGACTGTTTAATGTCACTTTCCTGTAAACATCACAGAACTGTTTTCCATCTTGAATCAAATCATGAAGTTTTGGGTCAGCAAACTCATCAAATGCGCCAGTGAAGGAATCTCCAGGCGCCAGGCCAACAAAATGAACCAGTATATATCCAGAGTTGGAGTTGCGCAGAGCTGATACTTTTCTCAGTAACTCCGCTGCTTTACAATCTCTCTTCTCCTTTTTCTTTGACTTATCTTGTTTTTCTTTCCCAACCCCAAATAGGTACTTGACATGAACCCCGGTAGACAGGACATTGCATTTTGAAGAGACATTTTTCAGAAACTTACGAACTGCCTCATCACGCCTTGGAATATTTTTTCTGTAATGACACAATCATCAGAATAAATACTAATAGTGAGTGAGTGAGTTTGGTTTAACGCCGCTTTTTAGCAATATTCCAGTGATATCATGGCGGGGGACACCAGAAATGGGCTTCACACATTGTACCCATGTCGGGATTCGAACCCAGGTCTTCGGTGTGACGAGCGACTGCTTTAACCACTAGGCTACCCGACCGCCCCAATAAATACTGATAAAACACATATCAAACACAACTTGAGAAAACAAATATCTGAACAAGGTGCAAGAAATGTATAACAATTACTAACAAGGCATTTTACAGTGTGCATATCAAATGTTGAAATACAATACTTACTCCAGACACTCTGTATGAAATGCTTCTTTCACTTGTAGACACTTTACTTGTATTATGTCTTTGTCTTTCACATAAACGTCTGCGTGTTCAGACCCTGTCGGTACCGGCTCTCCTTGCCTTGTATAAAGTATGTCTTCGGTTTTGACATAGACAGTCACGTGTTCATAACCTACTGGGATATGCTGACCTTCTTTCTCATACTTTATTTCTTCATTCTTTGCATAGACAGAAACATGATCAAACCCTGTTGGTGAGATGTCCCCTTTTCTTGCATATTTTACTTCTCCATTCCTGGCGTAGACAGAAACCTGTTCAAAACCTTCTGGTCTCAAGTCCTGTTTCCTTGCATATTTTACGTCCCGATCTCTGACAGAAACAGATACACGTTGAAAACCTTTCGGTACTAAGCTCCCCTTCTTGAGATAGGTGATGCTGTCACCTTTGCAATATACAGTGACATATTCAAAGTCCGATGGTATAGAATCCTGCAGTGTCACATAACGAACGTCTACATCCTTATGATACACACGTTGAGAGTCTTGATGTATTTCATCTCCACAATACTCACAAAGTTTCATGACATCTAGAACCTTGGGGTTTACATTTTACAACATGCCAGGAGAAGCGCTGACTGTTAACGTAAACTCATACGGAGGGACAAAACTCAGTTGGCTTTGCATGGAGGTGTCTTTCAAACTGCGCCGTAACCAATGTGACTAACACACATTCGTGTCAACCACGTCAACACATCACGTGATAAATAGCTATATCCTGCACAGCCACACGGTATTCATAAAGTCGAAACCGGCTCTGCAAGGAAAGAAAACACACCAGCCACGAAGGAGGATGCTCACGCTTTTGAAAAGAGGAAACTAGCATACAGGACGGAAGTGATGAAGCAACAATGACAGTATTTTTGGAATCCTATATAAAGGAAGAACATTATTTAAATCTAACTCTGTTTCACACCATCAGCCAAGACAGACGTTCTGACAGCATACACTTGTCAGTTTATCCTGTCTACTCTGCGTGTTGTATTGACCAAGATAATTAAATACAATTCAAGAACACACTCCTGTATTAAAAGTATCTTTCACTCAGCACTAATATTGTTAAAAAAGGAAAGTATGATATATGTTTCTTCTTTTATGCGCTCAGACCATCCTTTATTGTGTAAAATGTCCCGATTATTATCAACTAGATATTAATTATGTAGGTTCAGAGTATCATATACATTTTAGATTTTCGGGTTAAAAGCTGTATGACAAATTATCTATTAAGCAATAAGAGCAATATTTTGCTGTGGCTTGTGAGAATTTCTACAGGTTTTTTTCATTTTATCTATTTAGAATGGAATACAAACAAGAATTTCTAACCAATGTGAAAACACTGTCCGACTTAGACATGGGCTGCTGCTAACAACTGTACAGATGACCTAGAGGTCAATCTCAAACGCATAGAATTATTGACATCTTGAGTGACTCCACGTCCTGTGTCTACTGTGTCAGCACAACCTCTAGGTAACATCTGTAACATCTGTACGAAGTCCTTCAAGAAGCGACAAAGTCTGCTTAGACACGTCCATACTGTTCATGGAAATAATAAAATCACATGTGAAAAGTGTAAACATACATTTACGAGAGAGGATAACTTTTACAGTCACCGTTGTAACCTAAAACGGAAGTCAAGGAGGAGGAGGAGGAGGAGCGTGAGGAGGAAGTGGAGGAAGGGGGAGGAGGGGCGTGAGGAGGTGGAGGAGAGGGGAGGAGGGCCGTGAGGAGGAGGTGGAGGAGGAGTGGCGTGAGGAGGAGGTGGAGGAAGGGGGAGGAGGTGGAGGAGTTGGAGGAAGGGGGAGGAGGGGCGTGAGGAGGAGGTGGAGGAGGAGTGGCGTGAGGAGGAGGATGGTTGTTTTCCTGAGGTGGAGGAGTAGATGTGCTTCCCTGTCGAAGTTGTGAAGGTTTATGTAACTGTCTCCTATGTCTCTCCATGTTATCATGTCTAGAGAACAGGTTCTTATACTCTGGACACGATGTGGACTCCATGACAACTGGCATTCAACTAACACTGGAATAAGAGGATGAGCCTTATATACTCTGCATATAAGCCTCTGAGATCCAGCTGTTAAACTTCTTATGATATCCCATCCATCTCACCAGCACATCCTTTACACCAACTCGTTTCCTATTTTTCAAAACATTCTTAACACGCCAGATGGTGCCAGTAGGCTTGTTAACTTCTGAAGTTTATTCTCATAAATACTTCCCTTTATCGGATCCTCTGCCATATCTTTCAACTGGTAGACAGGAATATCGTCTCTTCAATAACGCCTTCTCACAATAAAAATTTCTTCAGTCCATTTCTCTTGATAGTCCCGTTGAAATGCATACCTTAAATGGGATAGTCTGACTTGATCTCCAACTTTCAACTTAAACGATTTCTTCCTGGGTGTCTTATCTTTCTTAATAGTTTCATGGTTTTTTCAGAGAATCAATATATTGTTCTTTCCATACTACAGTTTCATTAGTGTTGTTTATGTCTGAGGGTGATCGTTCATTCAATGATCTGGGAGGTCTGTGGTTATAATCCCAGGCGAGATCTTGCAAAAAATCGAAATAATGATACGTTTGTTTGTAGGTGAAATATCTGTACCTAGTTGTCTTGAGGGTCCGTATGACTCTCTCAGCATAAGACGCTTTGGTTTCATTCTGAGTCACATAACAGGTAATTACTTTACTTTGTAAGAAAGCTTTCACTTTCCTAATATCAAATTCTCGCCCTTTGTCTGATCGTATGATCTTAGGCAGAGTTGTATGAGAAAATATCTTTTTCAAAGATTTAATAACAGAGTCAGGTTTTTTATTGGTAAATGGTTCAACCAAGAGATACCTGGTATCATCAGGTATTTAACGCCATCATTGTCTGAAGGAATATTGGATACATCAGCCAAGTCTATATCCCAGCGAGCATTCAATCCAGAGGCCACCATTGTTTCGCTTGAATTTATACCTTAAAGGTCGCTGCAGTGAATAGGCATCTTGTGAAGCTAACCACTTCTTAATATGATGTGAACTTGTATCATACTTCATCTCTCTTTTCACAGTGTGATACAGCTTATTGGGTCCGGAAAAGGAGACTGAAAGTTTTGAGTTAAAATAAATATCAGACAAATAAACTTTCCAACCCTCACCCGGCATGGTTGCAAGTGAAAGGATACATACATAGAGTATACATAAATTTTATATTCATTCCCCATTTGTCATTCATCTAAAGCTGAGGCTGGGTTACATTCATTCACAAAAGCATACTTGTAGGTGTGTATTACCTCGTGGAAATGTGAAATGTTTCCTTAAAACAAATTGAGGAGGTCAGGGAATGATAAGCAAACCGCTATGTTATTCGAAAGCATTTTGTTTACACAGCTGACAGACGATTGGCTGTATGACCCAATTTCACGCTCTCCACCTGTTTGAATGTACTATACGAGCTATTTCTAGTGTGACGTCACTCCTTCATCAACCAATCAGATTGACGTACCTTAATGCACCTGGCGCTGAACTGTCTTTGTTGCTTCTTCACGGAAGATAGAAATGAATATGTTGAAGAAGAAATGTTGTTAGATGAATGTAAGAGAAAAGGGTACTGTAAATGTAGTATCTCACAACCACTTCGCATAATACCGATGTACAATATGAGTTTAAGACCATTCATTAAACTGAACAAACAATGATTGTTTGAATGATTCTCTGACTGATGAATACATGTAACAAAGACATTTTACACAGCTTTGTCTCATCCATTATATCTGTGTTATCATATGATGTGGAAAACAATCGTTATATTTATGTTTTTTTATTGCTTTTGGTTATGAAGCTGTAAATACATACGCAGTTCATAATCTAATAAATAATATACCAGATGCGTAAAACAAATATCATTCCATCTTAACAGAAGGCTTCACCTGCATATTAGACAAGCCCTCTTGAAATATACTCTGCCTCTACACATTGTGTCACGTTATGTGAAATAGATAAAAAAACCGTATATTACTAAATTTTAATAATATGCATTTTGTTCTGTCCCCATATGGATTTTAGTATAGGAAAACACACTGAAATTGACCAGAAAAGACTGTTTACGCTTGGGATTCTAACTAGCATTTTAAAATCTTTCTCGTTATCCATCAGCATATGCGAATGTCATTACGAAAAGATATATTCACAAAACTTTCTTTACAAGAATTGTTTATGTGTCAATGTCATGTTCACAGATGTTCAATCTTGTTTTTAATTCCGCATGGAAACACACATTTCTCGCACTGTATGTGTAATATGATTCTAAACATAAACATTGTCATAAGGATTAGAGCATATACATGACTTTGGAATGGTCATAAACACAAACTTTCAACAAATCTTCTTTTATAATTTAAATTTACAAACTGTGACAAATATTTGATATAGTATGTTTTGAATATAGAGCCATTCTGTTTTCTGTCTGGACAGTGGTTAGTCAGTTGTAATTTACTTCGCTTTTATAAAAGCTTATCTGAAAAGAAGCACAGTTTGCAACGATTTGCAGTGTCCTCAATAACCACATTCCCTGGGAAGAATATGCTTTTTTGATTAAATCTAGTTGACCTCCCACTCGCTGAAGTTTTTGGTAGTTAGAATTACCTTTCTGGAACCTATAATAAAACCTTTCTTTATAGTGTATCACCAGCACCCAGTCAAGATAACATTATTCAATACCAGGTAATTCTAAATCCTTCAAACCCCATTACAAGGCTATGTTCAAAACGCATGCATCTAGACTTTTAAACAAATTCACTCAAGTCATTGAAGGTGTCAGCAGTCAACTTCCAACAAGTAGGAACTTGAAACATACATTTACATGACAATAGGATTTGGCTATGATCTTTCAGTGCTTACAGTTCCATTTACCACAGAGGCCACGCAACAGTAGCTGTTACATTTCCATTTCTAACATCGAATACGGATGGAGATGGACACAACAGAAATAGTTAATTATCTACATCTGTACATGTAACACGCGTTTATAAAATACCATGGCAGTTCATATTCGAGTGAACGTGGAATCGCCCATACCCTAGGTCCAACATCATGTTTAAATGAAATCATTCCTTCAAATATAAGATATAAAATATAATTATTTTTGATTTACTGCTTCATAATTGTTTGCACAACATAATACAACAACATATTCTTGCGCGTGGGCTGCAATCTGATTGACCGGAAAACAGAATGGATCCCAGATATTAATTTTTTTATTTGCATATGAAAACTTTCTTTAAAAAGTGTATTGTTTTCTCAATCTGGAATTTTGTAAAAACCCTGCCATTTGTCTTGACGAAATAGATGTCACTTTAATCAAATATGACATTTGATAAGTATTTATCGAAACCTCTTCGATTATACATTATGACAATTGTTGATCTGCCATTGGTGAACTTTGTCATTTCTGTCCAAGATTTGTAAAGATCAATCGTAACATAAGTACGTCTCAGGTTTCAGCCTGTCATGAAAGTTTCTGATATTTTGAACATATGTTTGATCTAGAGTGCCTTATTTTAAGTGATAATGTGCCGCTTCATATTGATATCACATTAATCCATGTAGAAATAAAAACATATAATACAATGTTGCTTTTAGATGTAGTGAGTGAGTGGGTTAAAAGTTATCGTTGCATATAGCCATTCAGGCATATAGAGACAAGACCAAGTTGATATGTACACAATGTAGTC